CTGGCTTTCAGCACTTCCACTCGTGCCATTTGTACTCTCCATGGTTAAGTATAACCAAAACAGTAACCACAGAAACCACAACAATAACAATCACACAACAATTCTTATAAAAACACACAATATGCGATCGCTCAACGAAACACGTTCCAATGCGTTGCCGACGCCTATAAGTCTGCCGGTCGAGGCGCGTCTTTGATTTCATTGGTTCTACCGGCGGAGAACAATCAGCCATTATTTCCATCTCTGTCTGTGCTGTTGACCACCGCAAAGCCACAGAAACGACATATGTCGTACGCTATACGGCTGTACTGGAAGGAAGCCGGGATTGAGCTCTGATCACGTGTTGATCACGCGTATGAGTCATTACAGTTTTAAATAGTTGTAGTATAGAGCAATAGAGGGCACGCCCACTGATAACCTCTTAGTTATAAACTCATTTAAAACGGTAATCTGTCGGTCAGATGCAACAATAAACGTGCATGTCACTCCTCTAATTTTAACTATTTAGGCGTGTACGTTGATGAACCGCTAAACTGGAATAAGCAAGTTGATAAACTGTCGAAATTCTGAAGCTGTACTACTTCTTAGCTGTTGCATAGTTTGCTGTGGAAACTGCTCTCGCAATGGAAGAAAAGTTATCTTGAACGATAGCGTTAGTGCTACCGATGCAGAGAGCTCTGCAAACATTTGAATATAATGACAGTTCACGCTCTTTGTATCTACAGATGCCTTATCTATTTTAAAGAAAATTTGAGTTCTTTTTATATGAATAGGAGATCTATTCAGATACACAGTCTTTAACTTTGAAAGCGCCCAATGTTGTGGCTATAAAGTTTACAAGTTACCAACTTCAATGAAAGATGTATCTCTTTTTAAGGCATAATGAGGACAATGATGTTGAATAACGCTATCTATAGCGTTGAGGAATATTTCAATTGTATATATAAATGATGTTCTCTTTCGTATTCATCAACGTTTCTCTCACATTGTGATGTTATGTTCGTCATTCTATCTGTTATATTTGTTTTTATATATTGCATGATAGTGGTTAACGAGAAATAAGGTTATTATTATTGCCGGTGCGATGTGGCAGGAATCTGAAATATTATAAGGCGATGTTTACTTGACTGTACCGAAGCTGTCGGCTCAGGTACAATCCTTGTCGGCGCCACAGAGGCACAAGAAGAAGAAGAAGAAGAAGAGGTGGTCCAGCACAAAAAATCGAAGCAAAAGTAGCATCTTCCTTTCACTGAATCGTCTATATGATACGCGATGTAATCAATTATCATTTATTTATCGTTGTGATTGCTTGGTAGACACTAGCGTATGTGAAGATCGTAGATATGCCTGTTGATTACCACGAATTCACTTATTAGTGCTTTGGAAACGAACATTCATATAAGGTCTTAGGGTTTGAAAAAAATTGCATGAAACTGAAAAGTCTGCCATTAAAATATCGCCCGTTACATTGGTGATTTGGTTTGACAGAACTTACCTACAATATCGCCAGATTTAGGATTTGGATTATTTAAAAAAATAATAATTAACGTCTTTATTATTTGTTAAAAATTAATACATGTATACAATAACGACAATAATAAAACATAATTAATGTAGAACCATAAAGAGTACGCAAGGTCAGTTAACACTTATTGGTTACGAAACATTTCGCTGCTGGCCAAGGAGAAGTTCTTACAATTTTTTCTTGAAGAATAGAAAATCTGATTATCGTCAAAATTGACAGATGAAAATGTCAAGATGGGGGTCTTGTGGCACATCATTTTGAAGCTCCTGACGAATACTTTATAACCGTAGAATATAAAGTCAATACCTTTACCTACTACAAAATGGTGGCACATTTAATAATTACTTGAACACAAACCTACTAAGATGCATATATCTCTACAAATAATTGTAATTTCCTGCTGTACCCACAGCAACAGCGATAAAAACTTGTTTTGTTATTTTTTGTTGACAGTGACAAGAATATCAGTGCGGAAACAAACATCATTGTACAGTTAAGAAGACATTAAAGAAAATCACTGTATAATGAAAATAACAGCGATACAAGACAGATCCATGTGGTACACCAAAAACAAAATATTTTGTGCGGTAGAACACTGTTTATTATATGAATATTGTAATATCGGTTAACTAGTTTCATTTGCAAGCGCTATAACACTACGTTTATTAATCAATAAAAGCTGAAAAAATACGCGGTAAATTTAAAACGTCATCAGTTAATAATATTAAAGAATTTTTTCTTTAAATAGCAAAAGTGGAAAACGATGCATAGTCTTTGTTATCTAAGGTAAATAAACACTAAGCATATTTAGATAAAGTGGTTCTTATGTGTTTGAAATGTTTGAAACAAAGTATACTTTGACGAAAATTGTTGGATCCATTGGATCTATTGTTTTGTCAATTAATCATCTCGCGTTTATTCTTCTCCGAAACTTTCCGGTTCAAGTTCCCTATCCGCTTTTTTACAGCCGTACAGTTACCGTCATTATCGTTCCCTATCCGCTTTTTTACGGCCGTGCGCAGTCGCCATCGTAATTCAGCCGCCGCGTGAATGCGTGTAAGTCGTACCGAAAGATCAACCGAAACGAAAGTCGACGCAGTACCGGCAAGTGAAGGGGGTTCATCTTCTTGATCCAAGTGAAAATGAACAGGCAATTGGTCCAGCATCGGGCACGGCACACATTGCTGGCCGACGCTCGGGGAAAGGCCACAGGTCGTAACGAACGCGGCGCCGTAGGTAAATCACATCACGTACCGACCCCGGATGAAAGTGCGACCGGTGGTCGATTCGATCCGACGCCGTCGCAGTGACAGCGTCACGTGAACCGAACCGGGAAGAAGTCCTATTTTTCAAATTCCCAAATGTGGAAATTGCAACAAGAATTTTCCTGCGTCTAATGGTTACTAACTGCAACGGAGAGAGGTCTTTTTCAAAGTTGAAGAGAACAAACAATGAATCGAGAACGTCCATGTCAGAACGCCTCACCGGTTCGTCCCTTTTATGTCTATAGAGATTGACATTTTGCAGCAGCTGTAGATTGAGGATTTTGCCTAAATGAAATCACGGAAAAAGCCCATAATATTGTTGTAAGGCAATTTGTAATTCAATTGATATGTTTTACTAGAAGTACGCTTGTCTTCGATTTTTTTTTGGGGGCCCAAAGGTCCTCCCCCGCATGGCTGAAGACTTTCTCTCTGGCAGCAAGATATCCATCATAATTGATAGATTCTCCTCTTCATCCCACAGTATCAACGCAGGTATTTCCCAGGGATCTGTATTGGCTCAGACATTGTTTCTGTTACCTTCTTTCCTGTACGATCAATCCGATCCACAGCCTCGCTGACGACAGCACTCTACACGCAGGAATATCGGTGAAGTTGCTGGGAAAAAGCTAGGCTATTTATTTAGGGCTAAGAAGTATTGTGGAGTAGTGGTGTGTTGTCGAGTATTGCCGATTTTTGAACATATTTTTAATCATCTGTCATCTCTTTTTTATAATATACATTAATTTTTCTAAATATCGATGCTCTAATGGCAAAACCACATATTAAACATTTGGCTACTTGTTCAGGAAACGCTAAAAACCATTTTTCAATATCGTTGGAATCGCTGAAATGGCAATAACGGTTTTATCCCAAACACCTACGCCATTGGTTGCAGTTTCTCACGTTTCCGAGTGAGAGTGCGGAAATTGGATGAGATGCAGTTTTTTTCGACTATTTCCTTCCATAATTAGTCGATTCGATTCGATCAAGCGACAATGTATACAAGATTCCACGCGAAGGTGTGGTTACGTATACAGGGAAAACCAAATTCGTCTGACGGCTTGAGTTCCATGTGTGCGAGAGAGAAGTGTGTATAGACACATGCGTTAGACGGAGATAGAAGCCGGCTGGGTGGCGAAGCTCGTCGCCGTGTTGCTTAGCAACGCTGACGCGACACACGTCGCCAACATGTTACATCAGTTCCTTGAATCCAGATTCAGGTTGAAAATATGTAACGGTTTATTCTCTACGCCCAAATAATGGTTTTATTTTGAGCGTACACATTTTGGAAATTGTGTATTTAATCACAATACAGAAGGAAGAAAACATTTTTACACATATGAATCGATAATCAACTGTCGCGACAAGTACCAACGTGTTCTACACGATAGCAAGCAAAGGGAATTCTAAATAACCAATAATCTGTTGAGAGAGATAAAAAACGACGAAAGACCCGCCTACAAGCCGTACACCTAGCGGGGCATCCGTAGAATATTCTACAGACGATAATCGTATTGGTTGACCAATCAGCTTAGGAGATTTTTTGTGGGACTATTTCTGCCGACTGATACGAGCGTTTAAACGAGTTTTTTCTGCTTTGCAGCTATATTTGAAAAATTATAATCGTATTGGTTACAAATTAGCCAATTCTTTCTGCCAATAATAACTTTGGAAAAAAATTGCTTGGACTCGTCGATTTTTATTTCGAGCTAGAATGCACCTATTTAGTGTTGCAAAAAACACGATTTTTTTTAGAAATCGTTTTTGTTTTTTCTATCAATTTGTACTGCCTAACCTTTAATTTGTGTTACTCCGACTATGATGATTTTCTGAATATTTCGTCAAGTAGATCGACTCAGTTCTTATGACGTTTGATATACAACAGACATGAACTGACAAAACGACATAAATGAAAAACACGGACTCGTGTAATGCAGGAACCCAAGTTCGAATATTTTCGGAGGAGGAGGAGGAGGCAGTGTAGAGTCAATCTGCTTTACGCCATTTTTCGCAGCGGTTATGCTCACACAATTTAACCTGTCTCATCCGCAGATGATTGGAGGCTTCAGTATTCAGATTTTGCCTTCTTATCTGCTTGATCATTGAAAAAATCAATACTCTGAGAATACTTCACAACAATTTGACAGCACCTGAATAATAAAGTATTTGTGTACCAACATAACGCGCAAAACTGATATTTGGATCCGATTCAAAAATCGAAAAGGTGCGACAGAGATAAATAGATGCAATATTCGGAGAGCGATTTGCGTTCAAGTTCGCCAGTCAACAAAAATAAACCGATGTACACAGGTCGTAAAGTTTTGCGATTCGTCTCGAAAAATAAACAAAAAACATGTCTACGAGAAGGAGAACGTCGAATCTCGATGAAGAACTGTTCCTTGAAGTGGTAAGTATGAGATTGTTTGAATCTTGCGATGTTAAATGTGATCGTCGACCCGTAATTGTGACTTTAGTTTGGTGATCAGCAGCAAAAAGTACTCCATTTTTTACTTCCCACATCTACTGGCCAAAAAGTACTGTAATCACGAAACATTTTTTAAATCAGATGTGTTTTTTGGATGTTATATGGTATGTTCGTCACGAAAAACCAAAACACTCATATTCGTCTGTCAGTTTGTCTGTCCGCTAATATTTTTGCTTGGAAAGTACTACTCGGATTTTGATGAAATTAGTAGTTTTTGAAAACCAGTCCACCCGCGGCGGAGAAAAAGGCAAAAAAAGAAAAAACAAAAATCGTCCAAACTCTGTTTTTAGCTCCCTTGGGGATTCTGCTGATTTTTGAAAAAGCAATGGTAGGTGGGGATTAGACGTGGGCAAGGTGCATTGCAATTATTTCTCTACTCTACGGCCTTATGCTAGGATTCAAGGACTTTCTCACCCGGCAAACAATGAAGATACGACAGTCTACACAATTTGACTCAGATGCTATACATGACGCATATTCAGAGTTGCGTGGAAAGGACAGACTCAACCTACTCGACACATTTTTTTATTTTTGTGACCTGCGTTATTCTTCCAGGACAAACATTACTTAGGCAGCGACTTCGACAGAAACGAAGACTCCTTACTCGTGTACGGCGTCTTGCGAGCGACTGTAGAAGAAAACGTAGAAAGAGTGAAGTCGTTAGTGAGGAGAGGCAAAGCGATAAACATAAACGATAGCAGCGGAAATACTCCTTTACACGTCGTCGTTATCAAAAACAAGTAAGTCATCGTCGTAGATGTTTCGTGCTTGTTAAGATTCATCAGTTAGACATGCGTTTCGGCAGCAAATATTCTCAACAGGTGGTATTTAAAACGGTAGAACTTTTTTGCAATGGACGGAACTCTGTCTTCTGTGTCAGTCGTGATTTATGTTAATCTTCGAATCTGCGTCTATAGAAAAATATTATCACGATACCTGGATATTTTAAAATTTACCTTGCCTTTACAGTTGCTCGAGTTTGAATTTTAAAGTCGTGACAATAAGGGTTTATTTTAAATTTGTATTTGATCAAACCAACGACTTGATTGACCTAATTGACTTGATTGACTTACTTGACTTAATAGACTCAATTGACTTCCTTGACATAATTAACTTAATAGACTTAAGTGACTTAATTGGCTTAATTGATTTAATTGACGTTATTGACTTAATTGGCTTCATTGACTTAATTGACTTAATTGACTTAATTGACTTAATGGACTTAATTGACTTAATTGATTTAATTGACTTGATTAGCTTAATTGCTTTGATTGACTTAATTGAATTAATTGACTTAATCAACTCAATCGACTTAATTAACTGAATTGACTTACTTGACTGAATCGACTCAATTGAATAATTGACTTAATTGACTTAATCAACTCAATCGACTTAATTAGCTTAATTGACTTACTTGACTTTATTGACTTAATTGACCTAATTGACTTAATTGACTTAATTGACTTAACTGACTTGATTGACTTAATCGGCTTGATTGATTGGATTGACTTGGTGGTATTTAAAACTTTAGAACTTTTGCAATGAACGAGCTCTGTCTTCTTTTAATCGTGATTTGTGTTAACCTATTTGGGAAACCTACATGTTAATGGAGAGTCGGAAATTCGACTCCGCGTGCATAGAAAAATATTATTTACGATACCTGGATATTTTAGAATTTACCTTTCCTTTGCAGTTGTTCAAGTTTGAATGTTAAGATCGTGACGATAAGTTGGCTTAAGGGTTTATTTTAAATGTGTATTTGGCAAAACCGACGAAAATATTACAGATGAATGACTGAAAAATGTCCAAAATAGATCTGGTTGTTTCCGGGCATAACTTACTTTCTTTGTGCCTAGGTTATTTAACCGGCAATGTGTTATTTTTGGTTCGAACTTTTCCTTGTGTCTATCCAAATACATACGCAGCTGTCTATTATTATTCCTTTGTCCATTGATCATTGAGATAACGAATCGGAATCCTGTAAAGCAGGTCATTGCTTTTTGATTTTGGCCAGGTGTTCTCGCGACATTTGGCGACAGTGAAATAACATACTTATACACTTTAAACTTGTTGCTTTGTTTATTATCTGATGTGCAATGGGTTTCGTTGCATATAAAGTCATTCCAAACTAGGTATGACAAAAAGTCTTGTAATTAGAATGGCTTGGTATGCGCCTCTCGGATGTCTATTTTAATTGAGTTTCTTCGTGCATTCTGAATGAAGCAAGAATCATTCTAGAACCAACGCGTGTTCAAACCCTTACGCGTTTTTCTAGCTTAGAAATACTGGACTTTCTCCTGGATCAGCCAAACCTGGAGCTAAACGCCCGTAACTTTTCCGGCGAAACGGCTCTACTTCTAGCCATCAAGCTGTCTAGGTTAGACGCCGCTTCAAGATTGATTTGCGCAGGCGCAAACGTGAACGTACACAACTACGAACATGTCACGCCTCTCCATCTTGCCGTTACTCATCCAGAACTTGCACATCAACTTATTCTCAGCGGAGCTCATATCGATGCAAGGTGAGCCATTCTTTTGGAAGATTCTCAAAAACAATTCGAATAAACGACTTACTTGACTTATTTGACTTAATCGACTTCCTCGCTTTACTTGACTTACCTAACTTACTTGACTCACTTGACTTAATTAACTCACTTGATTGACTTGACATACTTGACTTACTCGACTTACTTGACTCGCTTGATTTAGTTGACTCACTTGACTCGCTTGATTTAGTTGACTCACTAGACTTATTTTACTTACTTGACTCACTTGACTTACTTGACCTTGACTCACTTGAATTCACTCGACTTCATTGACATACTTGACTTAATTGATTTAAGTGACTTGATTGACTTAATTGACTTAATTGACTTAATTGACTTAATTGACTTAATTGACTTAATTAACTTAATTGACTTAATTGACTTAATTGAAATAATTGACTTAATTGAAATAATTGAATTAATTGACTTAATTGACTTAATTGAAATAATTGACTTAATTGAAATAATTGAATTAATTGACTTAATTAACTTAATTGACTTTATTGACGTAATTGACTTAATTGACTTAATTGACTTAATATACTTAATAGATTTAATAGACTTAATTGACTTATTTGACCTAATTGACTTAATTAGAGATTACAGCGGAGACGCCCCTCTGCACGACGCAGTAGCTGAAGAATGCCTAGAAACCGTCTGCATGTTGCTCTACTACAACGCAGACGCAAACGCAAATGGCGTGAACAATATGACGCCCTTCATGAAAGCCCTGGTCGCGAGGAACGTGGACATTCAGCTGGTGTTGTTAGACTTCGTGTCCGACTTTAACGTAGAAACGTACGATAATGTTAGTACTCTAGCCATGGCGATTACGCATAGGTCGCCGTTCGTGGAGCAGATTATTTTGGGAGGCGCCGATGTCAACTATGCTTATGGGTGAGTAAGAAAGGGTAAATTTTGACCCAACCTCTCTGTCTCAGAAAATAGTGCCCCAACAAGAGAATGGTCAAAATAAAAGTCAGTTGCTGGGTTTTTAGATGGCGGCCTTGAAAATGACCTCAACATGACTTTGACTATGACCTTGGCCTTCAGCGCCCTTTAGAGCTCAAAAAAAGGCGGATATGTTTGTATGTGACATTGCCCATGGAATTAGTTGACCTCCGAATCACTTTAATGTCAAACTTAACGTCATTTCAGAACAAAAATCTTTCCTCTTTTTCTATTTGCGTCGGTGTGGTCAAACAAATACGGTTCCATTTGAAAGTTTGAAGATTGACCTTGAAGGTCAATCTGAAAGTCATAGTCAAGGTCATTTTAGAACCAAATCTTTCCGCTCTTTCGCTTTGCATCGGAGCGGTCAGTTTCCACAATTGACCTTTGAATGACCTTGGAGGTCAGTATGAAGGTCATCTTCAAAGTAATTTCAGAACAAAAATCTCTTTCCGCTCTTTCGCTTTGCGTCGGTGTGGTCAAAAAGTTACGGTACCATTTAAAATTTTTGCAATTTACCTTTGAATGATCTAGAAGGTCAATGTAAAGGTCGAAGTCAAGGTCCTTTCGAAACAAAAATATGTCCGCTCTTTCCATCTGCGTCAGTGTGATCAAAAAGATACAATTCCAATCAAAACTTTCACTATTGACCTTTGAATTATCTTGAAGTTCATTGAGAAAGTCATAGTCAAGGTCATTTCAGGACGAAAATCTTTCGCTCTTTCTCTTTGATTTGACCTCCGCATGACCCTGAAGGTCAATATGAAGCTCAAGGTCATTTCTGAATGAAAATATTTCCGCTCTTACTCTTTTTGTCGGTCAAAAAAAGATACGGTTTCATTTGATATTTTCAAAATTGATGTTTAAGTGATATTGAAGGTCAATGAGAAGGTCATAGTCAAGGCCACTTCAGGACGAAAATCTTTCCGCTTTTTCTCGCTGCGTCGGTGTGGTCGACAAGACATGGTTCCATTAAAAATTTTCAAAATTGACCTTTGAATGACTCTGAAGGTCAATATTAAATTCATATTCAAGGTCATTTCATAACGAAATTCTTTCCACTCTTTCTCTTTGTGTGGTTGTGGTGAAAAAGATACGGTTCCATTTGAAGTTTTCGTAACTGACTTTTGAATAATCTTGAAGATCAATGTGAAGGTCATAGTCAAGGTTAAATCTGCTCGATAATTTTTCTTCTCATTATCTTTGCGACGATGTTCATAAAGATACGGTTCCATTTAAAATTTGCAAAATCGATATCTGAATGACCTTGAAGGTCAATGTGCAGATCAAAGTCAAGGTCATTTCTGAACGAAAATCTTTCCGCTCTTTGTCTTGCATCGGTGGGGTCAAAAAGATGCGGTTCAATTTAGAATTTTCAAAATTGACCTTTGTATGACCCTTAAGTGAAGGTCAAGGTAATTTCAGAACCAAAATATGCCCGCTCTCTCTCTTTGCAGCAGTGTGGTCAAACAAAATTCGGTTTCACTTAAATTCTTGAAATTGTTCTCTGAATGATCTTGACGGTCAATGTAAAGGTCATAGTCAAGGTGATTCCAGAACGAACATATTTTCGCTCTATCTGCCTCGATGTAATCAAAAAGATACGATTCCATTCAAAAGTTTCACAATTGATCTCTGAATTATCTTGAAGGTCAATTTCAAGGTCATTTCTGAACTGAAATCTTTCCGCTCTTTCTCGTGCGTCAAAAAGATGCGGTTCAAGTTAAAATGTTCAAAATTGACCTCTGAATGACCCTGAAGGTCAAGGTCGTTTCCAAATGTAAAATATTCCTCTCCTTTCACCTGGAGGTCAAAAACATTATTATAAAACTTGAAGACTGCGGTGAAGGTGTTGGTAAAAAGGTAGTTTTCGAACGTAATTTTTTGCTTATTGCATCGAGGAGGTCGGTGCTATTAAAGATCCTTAACTTGGCCCCTAAATGATAAGATTGTATTCTAATAACTCGGCAACTTGCAGAGCCCAAAAGCCCTTTTTGAATGAAGTTATGCAAAATCAGACGCAATGATCTGGCGCGGACTAGTTGTTGTATTTTTTCCATTTCCCGTTCCAGTTACGACATGGTGGACGCGTTCTCCCTATGCCTCCAATACCCCAACTGGAAAAACTTCCAGTTGGTCTGGGAGAGACTGAAGTACGACGCCGATGACATGTCGTTAGGTAGCGTACTCTGGCGGATAGGCGGCACTTTACGAAAAGAACACTTCAAGCAGTACCTCGACGTCATCATCGACAGTGACAACGTCGACCAAGCCGTCGAATCTCTAAACACAGCCGAGGACTTTTATATGGTGATCGTACGTTTCTGTGATTTTTTTCACCAGCAGTCGATAGAGCAGCTCACCAGGTTGACGTGTAGGCTTTTAGAGCGTGGTTACGTCCTGACTAGTTTTGATATGAGTAAAATTTTTCTTCACTACGGTTATTGCGAATTGTACAAGATCATGCTGCATATGGATATGAAGTTTATAGGCAGGAGACCTCCCGATACTTCCAGGTTGATTTTCGATGTTAATACGAAGATGCAAGTTCTGTTGGATCAACTAGTTTCTATCATCAATATTGAATATTTGCACAATTCCATCTATCAGCTTCTAGATTATTGTATTTATCCGAAATTGATGAACGCTTATCTTGATTTACAAAGGGATGATTATGTTACGTTTAAGATCCTTCATCTGCCTAAAGTGCCTTCGCTGTTGGAATTAGCTAGAAATAAAGCTAGGGAGTTTATTGTAGAAAGGTTTAAAGTGAGGAATTCTAGAGAGTTTTATACAATAATAAATTATTTGGAAATGTCTAGGGTGTATAAGCAAATTTTGTCGTTTGAGAAGATCTTGTACAAACCGCATTATGTGAAAATGTTGATGGCGAATCGACTGAAGATTTTATGTTAGGTTTAGGTTTGTGAACTTGTTTTTTCGAAATTTTGAAAACTTTCGAAATCTTCAGAATTTATCAAATTACCGAAATTATATAGATTTTTAAAATTGTAAGATTCCAAGATTCTGCAACATTTCAAAATTCCGGTTTATAAATTTTTGAAATTTTCAAAATTATTGGAGTTATCAAGGTTTTTACAATTTTAAGATTTCAAAATTTCCACAGATGTCAAAATTTCGGATGTTTCGAAATTTTGAGAGCCCTCGAAATTTTTAGAATTTTTCAAGTTATCGGAATTATATAAAATTTCGAATCATGTATTTCGAAATTTTCAAAATTCTGTTTTAAATTTTTTTTAAATTTTCAAAGTTATTGGAAATATCAAGATTTTTAAAATTTCAATATTTCCAAAAATTTCAAAATTTCCAAAACTTTCGGTTTCCAAAATTTCCGAAATTAACGGAATTATCAGAATTTTCAAAAATATTAGTTTTCATAATTTTCAGAATATTCAAAACATTCGATATTTTAAGAATAATTAAAAGCAACAAAATTATCTGATTTCACAATTATCGTAAATATCAAAATTTTCAAAATGAAATTCAGTATTTCCAATCTTACCAAGTTTACAAAGTTTTCGAAATTCACTATATTTTTGGTATTATCGGAGTTATCAAAATTTAAAAAGATTCCAAAATTTTCAGGATTTGACAATTTTTGAAATCGCAATCATCAAAATTACCAATTTCAGAATTTTCGAAATTATCAAGTTTTTTAAAATGATTCCAAAATTTCAGTTTTCAAATTTAATCAAGTTTTCAAAATTTTCAAACATTTTAAAAAATTCAATATTTTCGGAATTTACGATATTTCCAGGATTATCGAAAAAATTATCAAAGATTCCAAATTTTCAGATTTTGGCAATTTACTGGATTCCAAAGGTTTCAAAATTTTCCAAGCTTTCGAAATTTTCAAAATTTTCGAAACTGTCGGAATTACACATTTTAAAAATCTTATAAATTTTGGAAATGTTCGAAAATAAATATTATTTTTAAAATGATTCCAAAATTTTCAGAATCATACGAGATTTCAAAATTTTCAAATATTTTCAAAATTCTGATTTAAAAATGTTTGAAATTTTCAAAGTTATTGGAATTATCAAAATTTCCAAAGATTTCAAAATTTTCAATGAACAATTCCAGAGAGTTTTACACATAAATTATTTGGAAAACGTTGATGGGGATAGACTGAAGGTTTTATGATAGTTTTAAGGTTTTCATGAACTTGCATGTGATTCAAATGTGATTTCTTTATTTTTACTACACATTATAGTATATATTTGTAATATATGTATCTTGATTTATGAAAATAACAAATCGTGTTTTTATTTCTGCATCGAGTGGCATTTATAAAGGATAAAAAAGAACGTGGGCGCTTATACATACATACAGGGTGATTCAGAAAATAGAGGCAGGAGATAAAAAAGAATGTTCATATAAATATAGTTCTTGAGATGCAGTGTGTTGAATTTTAAAATAAAAAAAATATGTTTTCTTGGAGAGGATGGACACTTATAGTTGACCCTTGATAGTTTATCAACCGCTGATGTTTAGTCTCACACAATTTTCAGAACTTACAGGAAATTCAAATTTTAAATATGTACGTGCATATTCAAAATTTCCAAAATATTTTAATACAATTTTCAAAATGATCGGAAGTCTTAAAATTTCCAGTTTTCAAAGTTTTTCCAATACTCTCAGAAATTTCCAAATTGACAAGATTTTTCAGGTTTCTCAATCAATATTTTCAAAATGCTCGGGATTCTCGAAGATTTCGACATTTTCAGAACCGTCAAAAAATTGTAAAATTCTTCAAAATCATTATCTAGAAAATCTGGAAAATGAATAATTTAAGAAGTTGTAAAATTTCGAAAAAGGTGAAAATGCTGAAAATTTTAGTAGATTTGAAAACAGTGAAGACTTTAAAATTCATTTTTTACAAACTGTTTTGAAAATTCTGCCTAAAATTGATGCTGACCTGGAATTCCTTATTAAGTGAAAAAACATACGAACATATTTCGGTTTTGGTTGCAGTTTTGGCGGATTTCCTGCCAAAACAGAAACTAAACTGACTCTGATTTTGGACTGAAATTACACGCTGTACTCAAAATAGTAATTCATTTCATTGTTGAATAGAAAAGAAGATTCTATAACAAATGAATGGGTAATCAAAAACAGTAGTGACAAATTAAAAAAGTATAAACTCCTCCAAGGTATAGAAACATTTTCATCTTAAAAATATACGCAGAAGATAGAGTTGTTTTTTCTACCTGTTTTAATGTGTCGACGAAGCATTATGCTAATAAGCATTTGAGGATTTAGCGTTGATATGTAATCATCCTGAAAATAATATCACCTTCGAATATTTTTAAATCCAAATTCCTTTTCCATCTTCGTTTTCAAGTTGTTTATGTTAACCTTAATGGGCTGTCAAACGAATTTGTCAGATGCTTTGCAGTTTTCATCTTGGTTATGTTTTGACTCTTAACTATTCTCTGAGAGATGTCGCCACATATGCAACATGGTCGTAGCGACATCTAGGAAGCAACTGATACACTATTAATTTCTCGTATAACGGTTCCTGTACTAGATTGATCTAGTCGTCAATAGATGTCGCAAGTATCGCTTATAACAGAGACATCTGCAGTCTACGTTGGGAACGATACTCGTACTTTGATTTGACACGTAGGTTTCTTCTTAAGCTAGTGATGGGAGTATCGATAGAATCAATTGATCTATTGAATATTTTATTGCATCCGAGAAGATTGAAGATGCTACAAGGTTTTGAGTTAGTCGATTTTTGGGCGATTCAATTTACAAAAACACTGAACTTTGACAACGGTTACACAAAATACTCAAACTTCAAAATAAGGTTTCCCAAATACAATTTTCAAAATGTTCAGAATTCTGAAAATTTTCAGTAATCAAAATTTTCAAGATTTCCAATAGTCTCAGAAATTTCCTAATTGACAAGATTTTTCAGGTTTCTTAAACAATCAATATTTTCAAAATGCTCAAGATTCTCAAAGTTTAAGACATTTTCATAACTGTCAAAATTTCGAAAATCATGAAAATCTTAAAAATTGCAAGATTTCCAAAATAATTATCTCAAAATTATGGAAAATGAAATTTTAAAAGTTGTAAAATTTCGAAAAAAGTAAAAATACTGAAAATTTTATAAGATTTGAAAACAGTGAAAATTTTGAAATTTAGTTTTTACGAGCTATTTTGCAAGTGAGAAATCATACGAACGTATTTAGGATTTGGTTGCAGTTTTTGCGGAGTTTCTGTTGAAACAGAAACTAAACTGACTCTGATTTTCGACTGAAATTACACACTAAAAATTACAAATAATAATAATTTATTTTATTGTTGAGTAGAACAGAAAATTCTGTAACACATGAAAAGGTAATCAAAAACAGTAGTGACAAATTAAAAAAGTATAAACCGTGAACAAACTCCTCCAAGGTATAGAAACATTTGCCTAGCAAAAAATGTTTTATTTTTCTCTTGAAAACAGCTATATTTGATTCATTCCTAAAAAAAAACAAGCGCTGATTTCAAAAATATATTACCTACTAATCAATTCTTTCTTCATAAAAACTTTCCTACTGACTAATCTCTCACAATGAGGCAATGGTGGTGGAACAGGCGCATCAACATTTAAGCTCTGAACAACCACCCGTTTCGGTTCCTCTTTTTTAGTCTCAGGTACAAAACACCCATAGATCGATACAGGCTTACACAATACATAACCCAATTTAGCGTAGAATCCCTCTTGTCCCTTAGTCGACAAATAAACAGTCCGTAACTGCAACGCTGTCCTGCAATGATCCTCCGCCCCTCTCATAAGGATGCGTCCGTACCCTTGGCCTCGGAGGTGTCTGGCGATGACAACAGACTCTACGAAACAGGCGTCTTTGATGGAAGGGATTGGAGTCAGTTTGAGATGCCCGATGACTCGTCCGTCTTCGACAAGCACCAACGAGGTAGGCAGGCTATCGCAGGAGCTCTCCAGGCTGTGCAAGCGGGCCGTTTCGCTACGTTTCCACTCGTCGTTGATCAGTTTGCAGCATTCCGATAAATACTGTTTATGCTTGTGCAGGGGGAAGATCGATATGCCCATTTGTACATCTGGAAATCACATTTTCATCTTCAAAATAGACGCAGAAGATAGAGTTGTTTTTTCTACCTGTTTCAATGTGTCGACGAAGGATTGTGCTAATAAGCATTTGCAGATTTAGCGTTGATATGTAATCATCATGAAAATAATATCACCTTCGCCTATTTTTAAACCCAAATTCCTTTTCCATCTTCGTTTTCAAGTTGGTTATGTTAACCTTACTTTACTAGTCTGTCATCTTGGTTATGTTTTGACTCTTAGCTATTCTCTAAGAGATGTCGCTACATGTGCAACACAGTCGTAGCGACATCTAGGAAGCAACTGAAACACTATTAATTTCTCGTATAACGGTTTCTGTACTAGATTGCTCTAGTCGTCAATAGATGTCGCAAGTATCGCTCATGACAGAGACATCTGCAGTCTACATTGTGAACGACACTCGTACTTGGATTTGATACGTAGGTTTCTTCTTTAGCTAGTGATGGGTGTGTCGATAGAATCAATTGAAGTATTGAAGTGCGAACTCAAAACTATCGAACGTCATACCTAAAATTTGATGTGGTGTTTTGGGTTAAAACTCTAATCTGTACACCTAGCAACATGAAATATAATTTTTAATCGCACTTTTAAGCATTCAAAATGGCAATTTTTGCGTTTTCTTGACTTCAAATTCGCTTCAAAACCCCCTTTGTACATCCAGCAATCACATTTTCAATGTGTCTATGAAGGGTTATGCTAATAAGCATTTGCAAATTTAGCGTTGATATGTACTCATCCTGAAAACAATATCACCTTCACCTATTTTTAAACCAATATTCCTTTTCTATCTTCGTTTTCAAAATGTTTATGTCTGTCAAACGAATTTGTCAGATGCTTTGCAGTTTTCATCTCGGTTATGTTTAGACTCGTAGCGATTCTGTAAGAGATGTCGCCACATGTGCAACACAGTCGTGGCGACATCTAGGAAGCAATTTAATCACTATTTCTGTATTAAGTTGAACTAATCGTCAATAGATGTCGCAAGTATCGCTTATGACAGAGACACCTATAGCCTATATTGTGAACGACACTTGTACTTTGATTTGATACGTAGGTTTCTTCTTAAGCTAGTGATGGGAGTATCGATAGAATCAATTGAAGTGCGAACTCAAAACTATCGAACGGCGTGTGAAGTAAGATCCAAATACTTTTTGTGCTCTTGTAGGTTTAAACTCTAATTTGTACACTTAGCAACATGAAAGATGATTTTTAATCGCATTCTAAGCATTAGAAATGGAAATTTTGCGTTTTTTTACTTCCAAGTCGAATTTAACTCAAGAACTGTGCACTTTATAGTACAGTTGATAAGGATCTGTTTTGTTCATAATGAACCATAAAATTTAGTCCCGAGAAAAAACTACTAACCTGGCAGGCTGAAAAAGTTAAGACTTTTTGTATGTTGCATTAACAACCAACCATCAGAACACTATAGTATGTTATCTGAACCTTTTGGAAAGGTATATCCAAACATGTAGTAAAATAGTGAAAAAAATTGCAATATTTTTATAAACGGAATGTTCCATATTTTATTGCATTCAAGAAGATTGAAGATGATATAACGTTTTAAGAGTTAGTCGAGTTTTGAGCGATTCAATTTACAAACACACTCAACTTTGACACAGGTTACACAAAATACTCAAATTTCAAAATAAGGTGTTACATGACCTTCCATTTCATTTATTTTTTTTTCTTTAAACATGAGTGGAAATGCAGTTTGTAAGGTACATTAAACTTTTTAGAGAAATTTCGCAAATAAAATTACGTGAATGATCCTTTTCTAGAAGAACTGACGCGCAAACGAGCAGGAATGATTTTTAAAAATTAACAAACCAATTTTGTCCGGTGGCATGCAGTAAAACGGGATTTATTTTTTTTTTCTCGAAAACGAAGTGTGGTACGAAAAAATACAAAAGGCAAAAGAGTTGTATTTTTAGATGCTTAATGAAACAACATATAAAAATATTCGCTAAGGTGCCTCTTAATACAACAAATAGTATTGCCAAATTTCAACAGAATCCAGTAAATATTTTTCAAGATACTAAAAAAGGCAAAAAAATAAAGTTATCACCCTGTGTCTTGAAAACACCGCAAGTTTATAGAAGCTTTTTTTCATATTTTTTAACAAGGAATCTTTCTCTAAAATATCTCCTATTTTTCCCTGCAATTCCTTCGAGAGTAAACATTTATTTCACAATAGATTATTTACCTACCTGTTGGTTAAATAAAATGAAAAATTAATTGGAACCGTTGCATTTATTGAACATCAAACACTCAATGGAAACATTGTTTCAAAAAATGTGCATTTAATACTCCAATTTTTCTCATTTGTGAAACGTAAGTTGAAGAGTTTTAAAATGCATTAAAAAAAACCCTCATCTGTGTGCAATTATATAAAACTATAGCCTATAACATACATTACAAAACATATTAAAGAAATGTACCAATTTTTTTCCCTGTGAAATTCAGTTTTTTTAGTGAAAAATATGACTTGAAATATGAATTTATACAATTTATACATGCTTTGTACAGTCAGAAAAATTGAAACCTTTACAAAAATTCGTACTATTTCATCACAGATAGTGTCTCGAGTAGTTTTTTAGCAGAATCAATGGAAAAACACCGAATAATATTCTGTACAAATTTTGCTAATGCCATGCTTCAAATAGTTTGACGGGAATATGTATTATAAATTAGCTTTTTTAATGTCATGTCTCAAAAAAACGACTATTAAAAATTATTATATCATATAAACTTCGGGGTCGAGATCAGTAATAATTTGGTATAAGGTAATCAAGACGTAGCTCAACACAGATTAAAAAATCAATTTGAAAAAATGTTATTTTTTCGCTAAACAAGCAAAGCAAAAATCTAAAAGCTCCAAGCAAGGTTCCCGATGATAAACAACAAAAAATAAAAATATATATATATATAATCAACAACACTGTTTCCCGAAAAAAAAAAAAAATTCCTAAAAGATATAGATTTTTGTAGTATACATATAACAGATTTCTGAACACTGCAAAAAGGCATTTTAAGTAAAACAGTCTCCAATATAAAATCTTTCTTTCTTGAGATTTCTGACGGAGAAAAAAAATGCTTTTTTGCTTATCTATTATTAATGTTCAGTTTTATGGATATGAAAATATTTTTTATAAAACTCTAGTATAGTATCCTTTTACGAAAATATAAGTAAAACATTTTTGATAAGGATACATGTCACTATTCTAAAAAAATGACTACAGTGGGAAAAGTAGGCAGTACGAAAAAATTAAAAATGAATACTATCAAGGTGGTAGCATCAGGTTTTGAGAATGAAATTTTGAGCAAAAATGACACAAAATGGTGCTCAAATGAAAAGAGAGTCTTAAAAAAGACTGTTTTTTTTGGTTTTACATCCAGTGGATTCTTATCTACATATAATATTAAAATATATCAACATATTTCAACTAAGTACACTTTCCATATAGAACACAAAATATTGTCATTTTCCTCAAAAATCATTCGCAGATATGCTGACATATTTTCCAAAAATATCCCAACAAGTCCTCATTTTTTGCGTTCCGTGATATACAGGGTGTTAACGAAAGGCTTTAAGTACAAGGACGAATTCCTAAACCAAAGGACGATAGCTTCGTCGAGAAAACGAGCTTTCGAAAATTTAGAGACTTCAAGAACTTTCAAAATTTTCATAATTTTCTTGATTTTGAAAATTCACAATTCTTTCAAAATATTTCACAAATATTTTTTGTTTAGAAAATTTTAAAATTCGCAATATTTTCCAAATTTTCGAAATTTTCACTCTTCAAAATTTTTAAGCTTCCAAAATCTTCAATATTTGACAATATTCAGTTTTCAAAAAACAAGGATTTTTAGAACTCTCAACTTCTGAAAACTCGAGATCTTTCAAAATTTTAAAATTTTTAGTTTTCATTTCTTCAAGATTTTTGATTTCAACATTTTCAAAATATTCAATTTCCAAATTTTCGGTCATCAAAATTTTGTAAATATTCAAGGCTTTCAATCAACCATTTTGCGATTATGAGAACTTTCAAAATTTCCATAATTTTCTCAAGCTTTTTCAAAGCTTTATATTTTCAAAAATTTAAATTTTAGAAAATGTCGACATTTATAATTTCAAAATTATTAAAATTCTTAATAATCTCCAAATTTTCGGTCTCCAAAATTTTCATTCCAAATTTTTGCAAATATTCAAAGCTTTAAAAAATTTCGCGATTACAAGAACTTTCAAAATTTCCATAACTTTGACAAGATTTTTCAAAGCATAAGAATTTAAAAAAATGTCGACCTTTAGAATTTCAAAATAATTAAAATTGCGAAATTTTCGGTCTCAAAAATTTTGCAAATATTCAAAGCTTTAAAAAATTTCGCGATTACAAGAACTTTCAAAATTTCCATAACTTTGACAAGATTTTTCAAAGCTTAAAAATTTTCAAAAATGTAGATTTTAAAAAATGTCGACCTTTAGAATTTCAAAATAATTAAAATTGCAAAATTTTCGGTCTCCAAAATTTACAATCTTTCAAACTTTTGCAAATAGTCAAAAGCTTTCAACCATTTCGCGATTACAAGAACTTTCAAAATTTCCATTATTTTCACAAGATTTTTCAAAGCTTAAAAATTTTCAAAAATGTCGACCTTTAGAATTTCAAAATAATTAAAATTGCGAAATCTTCGGTATCCAAAATTTTGCAAATATTCAAAGCTTTAAAAAATTTCGCAATTACAAGAACTTTCAAAATTTCCATAACTTTGACAAGATTTTTCAAAGCTTAAAAATTTTCAAAAATGTAGATTTTAAAAAATGTTGACCTTTGGAATTTCAAAATAATTGAAATTGCAAAATTTTCGGTCTCCAAAATTTTCAATCTTTCAAACTTTTGCAAATAGTCAAAGCTTTCAAAAATTTCGCGATTACAAGAACTTTCAAAATTTCCATTATTTTCACAAGATTTCTCAAAGCTTAAAAATTTTCAAAAATGTCGACCTTATTGAATTTAAAAATAATTAAAATTGCGAAATTTTCGGTCTCCAAAATTTTGCAAATATTCAGAGCTTTCAAAAATTTCGCGATTATAAGAACTTTCAAAATTTACATTTCACGATTTTTCAATGCTTCAAAATTTTCAAAAATTTGAATTCAAAGAATTTCGAATTTCAAAATTATCAAAATTATTAATAATCTCCAAATTTCCAGTTTTCAAAATATTAGATTTTGAAAAAAATCCGGATTTCGAATTTAAAAAAAATCATGCTTTCCAAAACTTGGTTGCAAAGATGCTGTTTCGGTCTCGACCTAACCATCTTCATCTTACCTCATTTTCCATAAAGCAAACACACAAAACCAAAACCTCGATAGATACCAACAATTGACAAATAAAAAGCATCGAACCTTAGACACACCCACTGAGTAAGAACAAAAAATTATCGTAACCAGCATACATCTACTCGAACAACCTATGCCTGACCTTGGGCCCGCCGTAACTCCTCACCGGCGACCTATCGGATACCGGCGTTGAAAACAACTGCCTATCGGCGGGCTCCGATTGGAGGAAATCATCGAAGGACGCTCTGGACGTGGACGGCGTTGCCATATCGTCTTGAAAAGCGGAAACGCTGCGAAGCGGCGCCTGCGGAGTTGAAACGCGTTGAACCGACGGGTGGGGGGTCGCGTTAGGGGAAGCAAGGGTCGAGAATGACGGGAGAGGAGCGGAAATTGAGGTAGGAGGTTGTAGTCGTTCGAGACAGATGCGGACGGTAGGCATTTGTTGCTGAGGTGTCGACGTCAGCTTTCGGGAGGATTTCGTGTAACATCTGGTGCTGTTCAGCGGCGTCTTGCCGCGATAGGAGGGTTTCGGTTGCTTGCAGGGCGGTTCCTCGCCCTGAAAGGAGAAATCATCGTAGGTCTTGTTATACAGTTGACTCTTCTTCTTTCCACACCTCATATACATAGATACATAATAGCTACACACTATAAAATTGGGAATGTTCAAGATGCCAGCACATCATTCACTAAATAATCTAAAATCTACTCAATTGTGGACACTAAAAATTTACATTACCAACCTGATCTTTCTCTCTCATCTCCCTAATCTTCTTCATCTTGTCCTTTCTGTCATCCTCGGACGGAGCATGGTACTCTTTCAGATGCTCGTGGTACCTCTCTTTAGTCAGCAGTTTCACCTCGAAGCTCTCGTTGGCCAACTGACCCGGTTGTACGCCGCAAATGTCGATGTTGCCGGTGTTGGCGAGTTGCAGGGACGATATGAAATATCGCACCACCTAGGAAAAATACGAGAGATTGTTTCGGGAGAATCGGCAACGTTGCAAGGCGTTTTTTAAGATCGACCTTGAGATGCCCTCCAAGTTCAAGGTCATCAGCAGCTGTGTATCTCAAAGGAAAACTGATCGATACGGGATATGAAGCCTGTTAATATAGAGATCAAATGATGTTGCAGGTATCCAGATCAATTGAAAATATAAATACAAGTTAGTTGTTGGATGGTGTTGGGTATTTTACACGAGCATTACACTTACAGTCGACCTTTGAGGGCTGAGTGTCGACTGGGGGTTAATAAGTCCTGGGGTTTTAAATAGTAGCTTGTCAACTTTCAAGTGCAGATGCAACATTTGAACTAATCAGATATTCAAAATTTTCAGTGTTTTTAAATACCTTTAAATTATCAAATTTTTCAATGTTCTCCGAATTTTTAAAATTGCAGTTTTTAATATTTCACAAATTTTCAGATTTCGAAAATTTCAATCTTCAAAAAAATTCAAAATCAATAATTCCAAAATTTTCGACATTTTCCAAGTTTCCAGACTTTAAGAACTTTCAAAATTTTCACAATTCTCAACTCTGGGGATTCTTCAAAATTATCAAATCTTGATAATTTTTAGATTTCAATTTCTTCAATTTTAAACATTTTCGATTTCAAAATTTTTAAAACTCAGTCTTAAAAAATTTCAGTTTTCAATGTTTCCAAGATTTTAAAAACTTAAAATCTTTCCCAAATTTTTCAGATTTTGAAAATTTGAAACTTCCATAAATTTCAAAATCAATTCTTCCAACATTTTCCGGATTTTAAGAGCTTTAAAAATTCCCAAAGTTTTAATAAATTCCAAAATTTTTACAATTCTCAAAATTATCGAATCTTGAAATTTTTCATAAATTCGATTTTTTAATTTTCAAAATCTTTGAGACCGAAAATTTGGAAATTATTAAGAATTTTAATAATTTTGAAATTATAAAGGTCGACATTTTTTAAAATTTAAAGCTTTGAAAAATCTTGTGAAAATTCTGGAAATTTTGAAAGTTCTCATAATCGCAAAATGGTTGAAAGCCTTGAATATTTACAAAATTTTGAAGACCGAAAATTTGGAAATAAATATCAGGATTCTTTGAAAATTGAATATTTTGAAAATGTTGAAAAATTGAAAACTAAAAATTTTAAAATTTTGAAAGACTTGTTTTGAGAAGTTGAAAGTTCTAAAAATCCTTGTTTTCGAAAACTGAATATTTTGAAAATATTGAAAAGCTTAAAAATTTTGAAGAGTGAAAATTTCGAAAATTTGGAAAATATTGCGAATTTTTAAATTTTCTAAATAAAAAATATGATTTGTGAAATATTTTGAAAGTTTCAAAATCGAGAAAATTATGAAAATTTTCGACATTTTCCAAGTTTTCAGACTTTAAGAACTTTCAAAATTTTCACAATTCTCAACTCTAGGGATTCTTCAAAATTATCAAATCTTGATAATTTTCAGATTTCAATTTTAAACATTTTCGATTTCAAAATTTTTAAAACCCAGTCTTAAAAAATTTCAGTTTACAATATTTCCAATATTTTAAAAACTTACAATCTTTCCCAAATTTTTCAGATTTTGAAAATGTGAAACTTCCAAAATTTCAAAATCAATTCTTCCAACATTTTCCACATTTTAAGAGCTTTAAAAATTTCCAGTTTTAATAATTTCCAAAATTCTTACAATTCTCAAAATTATCTTGAAATTTTTCAAAAATTACGATTTAAAATTTTCAAAATTTTGAAATTCTCAATGTTTTTCAAATTTTCAGTCTTAGAAATTTTCAAACTTTCCAAATTTTCAATTTCCGATATTTGCAACATTTTCAAAAGTATTCAAAGAGCTTTCAAGAATTTCTGGATTTTAACAACTTTCACGATTTTCAAAATTCTCAATTCTTTCAACATTTTTCACAAATTATAATCTTTATTAAAAAAAAATCACAATATTTTCCAAATGTTCAAACTCGCAGTGTTTAAAATTTCCAGGATTCTCAATATTTCCCAAATATTCCGAATTTTCAGTATTTTTAGAACTTTAAATTTTTCTCAAAACTCGGAGATCTTAGAATTTTTCAGTTTTCAGATATTTTCAACATTTTCGATTTCAAATTTTTTCAAATTCTCAATGTTTTCAGTCATCAAAATTTCACAAATACGCGCAGCTACCAAACATTTCGGTATTTTAGGGACTATCAAAATTTTCATAACTGCACTGCACGATTTTCAAAATTCTCAAAACTTTAAATTTTTTAAAATCTCAGCATTTTTGTTTTAAAAACTCTTAAATTCTCAATATTTCCCAAATTTTTAAACTTCCAAAGTGTTAAGATTTACTAAGATTTTAAATATTTTTGAAACTGTCGCTCTTCGAAATTTTGAAACATCCAAAATTTTCAAAAGATTGACATTTTAAGAACTGTCAAAATTTACAAAATTTTCATGATTCCCAAACTTGGTAATTTTGAAAAACCTGAAAATCAGTATTTTTAGAACTTTTAATTTTTCTCAAAACTCAGAGATTTTTTAAAAATCTTCAAATCTTAGAATTTTTCAGTTTTCAGTGTTTTTATATTTCCAACATTTTCGATTTCAATTTTTTTTAAATTCTCAATGTTTTCAGTCATCAAAATTTCAAAATTTTACAAATACCCGAAGCTACCAAAAATTTCGGTATTTTAGGGACTATAAAAGTTTTCATAACTGCACAATTTTCAAAATTATCAAAACTAAATTTTTTAAAATTTCAACACTTTTGTTTTAAAAACTCTTAAATTCTCAATATTTCCCAAATTTTTAAACTTCCAAAGTGTTAAGAATTACTAAGATTTTCAATATTTTTAAAACTGTCGCTCTTCAAAATTTTGAAATTTTCAAAAGATTGACATTTTAAGAACTGTCAAAATTTACAAAAGTTTCATGATTCCCAAACTTGGTAATTTTGAAAAACCTGAAAATCCATCACGAGAAGTGCAAATGCAAATATTGGCCTCAAGGATCAACTGTAAATGAGGGCCGTAGATCAGTCCACTAGACAACGCTTCAACAAACAATCTTGATTTTCCGAAGGTCGCATTCAGCATAAAACGTTAAAAACAATGCAGGAGACGCCACAGCTTCTTCTCACAAAACCTCAAAATCAAATTTTAAAACTATATCAACGTTCACATAGGTTGCACCAGAAGAAATACCAAAGAAAACCATACCAGTGAAGTGCAATGGAAAACATTAGTCTGCTTATGTTCCTATTTTTGTTATTCTTAAAACATACCGTCGAAGTACTGTGACGTTCTGAAGAGAAAACGTCAACGTCATCATCAAGGCGTCTAGCTGATGTTGTTGGTTGTTGTTGTTGATGATTTGTTGGTTGCAAAGAGGATGTTTTGGTCTCGACCTAAAAGATCAGATCAGTACACCTAATACTAGAGCTAGCTTTGCCAATGGGTGATTTTCTTATTTACATGGGTCTTATTTACAATTTTAAATCGATATGCTACTTGGATCAATTTTAGGTGAAAACGATGATGATATAAATATAAATGCACAAGTTTTGGAATCAACAATAGTTAGTATGCTGAGTTTAGAATTTATAAATTGAGACGATAATATTGAAGTGGCTTTTTTTATTTGACTGAAGCTAAAACTGCTTATTTACTGCTTATTAAAAAAAAGGAAACATCAATTTAGTTATATAATTTGAGCTAGTTTCAACGTGACGTTACCTCCCCAAAACGTCACTTTTTCGGTCCAAATTTATGGTTTCAAGTTGTATTTTACCAGCTACTCGGTAATTTACAGGATACAAAATAAATGATGTCTGTTCATAATCTGTGGTGATGAAATATAGCCACTGTTTTTTTAATCAATCCGTATATCACAAGAAACAAAACCTCAAAGTTCACAACTAGGAGATTTTTGTGAAGCGTGAATTTTGAGGGCTGGCCTTAGTTACGTTTTAGTGTATTTTCATCGCACTTTTTTTTGCGAGTAATATAAAATAACCTCAGGCTCCGTGTGCGATATCTGCCAATATTTTTCTGCATTGCTAAAAAAAACAATATTTTTCGAATCCTTTGCTAACCAGTGTGTGATGATAGTCCAAGGACACTCAGTAACATGCATTATACGAGTGCTCTAGCCCAACTTTTCCTCAGTACTCACCTCTTTAGGTGGTTTTCCTTGCACCACCTCCTTGAAATGCTTTTTCTCCCCAACGTCAACTCCCTCCATGATAGCAGATCCGTACTCGTGGATGTCGAACTCGGATTCCGATAAGGTTTTCAGGATCGGTAAAATGTGACTGCGCCAATTTTCTACCCTTTGCCTGCTCTCTTCAAGCTCCTCTTCGGTCATCTCGTGTCTCACGAAGCTCTATAGGTGAAAATGGATCAGTTGGATAAAAAAAACTGTTAAAAATCTAGCTATTACTTGCAAGTCAGTGAAAACAGAAAATATTTGCGTTTATTTAAAGGTTATTTAAGTGAAAGATTCTCTATAATGAGTTAATTAATATTTGTTCCCAGACACAAAAGAACCAAATATAAAAAAGTGGCTTTTAAATATGAATGCTATTTTTGCCTTAGGATGATCAGAAAATTAAAATAAAATTTGTTTTTTTAACAATTGATTTTTTCTGAAATTTTGAAAACTTTGGAGATTATAAACATTATGAAAAATCTTGAAAACCGAGAAATGTGAAAAATCTGAATATTTTGATCTTTGGAAATTTTGAAAAATTAACTAGAATTTATCTATGTTGAGAATTTTGGAAAATTTTGAAAATCTTGTTAGCCTAGAATTTTGAAAACTCTGGAAGTCTTGAAAACTTCGGGAAAATAAAAAAATGGGGATCTTAAAAACTGCGTATTTTATTGTGAAAATTCTAAATATTTTGATAACCTTGGAAATTTTGAAAAATTCGAAAATATCGAAAAATAACCTTTATTTTATTATACATATTATTAAATTTTTTGAAATCTTGAAAACCGAGAATTGTAAAAATTCTGATAATTTTGAAAACTGAGAATTTTAAAAATTTGTTTAACTTTGGAAATACTGAAAAATTCGAAAACATCGAAAAATAAGAAACTTGATTTTAAAAATTCTAAATATTTTGAAAATCATGTGAACCGAGAATTTTGAGAATTCTGGGAATTTTAAAAATCTTGACAACCGAGAACTTTGAAAATTCTGAAAATTTTAAAAATTTTGGAAGTATTAAAATTTCCGGGTATTCCTGATAACAAGAATTGTAAAAATTCTGAAAATGTTGAAAAGTTTGAGAATACTAAAAATTAAGAAAAAATCGAAACATCGAACGAGAAACTTGATTTTAAAACTTCTCGATATTTTGAAAATTTCGTAAATCTTGAAAACCGAGTTTTAAAATTCTGAAAATTTTGAAAATTCATTTTTTCTAAAAATTTGAAAATTATGAAAATTTGGAAAACTTTTGGAATTTTAAAAATATTGGATATCTTGAATACCGAGAATTGTGAACATTTTGATAACTTCGGAAATTTTGAAAACTAGAACTAGAAAACTAGAATTTTGAAAACTCTGGAAGTCTTGAAAACCTCAGAAAAATAAAAAAAATCGGGGATCTTCAAAACTGCGAATTTTATTGTGAAAATTCTAAATATTTTGATAACCTTGGAAATTTTGAAAAATAACCTTTATTTTATTATACATATTATTAAATTTTTTGAAATCTTGAAAACCGAGAATTGTAAAAATTCAGAAAATTTTGAAAACTGAGAATTTTAAAAATTTGTTTCACTTTGGAAATACTGAAAAATTCGAAAACATCGAAAAATAAGAAACTTGATTTTAAAAATTCTAAATATTTTGAAAATCATGTGAACCGAGAATTTTGAGAATTCTGTAAATTTTAAAAATCTTGACAACCGAGAAATTCTGAAAATTTTGGAAGTATTAAAATTTCTGGGTATTCCTGATAACCAAGCAATGTAAAAATTCAGAATAAATCGAAACATCGAACGAGAAACTTGATTTTAAAATTTTGAAAATTTCGTAAATCTTGAAAACTGAGTTTTAAAATTCTGAAAATTTTGAAAATTCAATTTTTCTAAAAATTTGAAAATTATGAAAATTTTGAAAACTTTGGGAATTTTAAAAATATTGGATATCTTGAAAACGGAGAATTGTGAACATTTTGAAAACTTCGGAAATTTTGAAAACATCGAAAAATAAGGACCTTGATTTTAAAAATTTGGAATGAAAATTCTAAAAATTTTATAACTGGAAATTTTTGGGAATCTTTATATCCAAGAATTGTAAAAATTCTGAAAATTTTGAAAACTCTGGGAATTTTAAAAATCTAGAAAAAATCGAAACATTGAATGAAAAACTTGATATTAAAAATTCTTGAAATTTTGAAAATTTTGGTGAATTTCGAAAATCCAGTAAAGCGAGAATTTTGAAAATTTTGTAAATTTTTAAAACCGAGAATTTCAAAACTTCAGAAAAATTTTAAAATTAGATTTTTCAAAAAATTTGAAATTTCTGGAAACTTTGGGAATATTAAAAATTTTGGGAATCCTGAAAACCAAGAATTTTGAAAATTCTTAAAATTTTAAACTCTTTGGAAAGCCAGAAAAAATCGAAACATCGAATGAGAATGTTGATTTTAACACTTCTTGATATTTTGAAAATTTTGGAAAATTTCGAAAATCAAATTTTTCCTACCTCTGACGCCCTCCTAAAACACTCGTCTTCACCCTTCCTGGACTCCCTGAACCTCTTCAACGCCTCCTGGATCTGCTCCTCCATTGGGTCTGCTTTCCTCTTTCTCCTACCCTCCACCCTCGTTTCACCACTACTAGTTCCGTTCTGCGCCTCCGCGTCCTCCCTACTCGCCACCTCTTGACCTTCCTGGACCTCAATGTGCTCTTGGAGCACCTGGGAGTCGTCTGGAAAGGCCGAATCGTTCGGCCTGCCACTGTCTTGTTGCACCTGACAGTAACTGTGATCTGACATCACCGACATCGTGTCGGCGTTTTGGAGATCTGGAGGTTCGGGAAAGTCTGCAGGTTCAGGAAAGTCTGGAGGTTCAGGAACCTCGGACGTTTCGGATTCCGAGTCGGATGACATCGCTTGGATCTCACCTGTGGGAGGAGTTTGACGTAAATTTCAAAAAAAAATCTATTGTATATTTCATTTGAATTCATTTTGGAAATAACTTCCTAGAGAAAAAATAATCTCAAGCTAATGAAAAAATGCGTGGGGAATTTGTCGCGTTTTCAGGTGTTTGCTGACCAATCTCGGGTTAAATAATTTTGCTTTTTTCAAAAATACTCTAGGATCTACAAGGAACAAAATTGGGAGTTATAATAGTTATACTAAAATTTTCACAATATTAGGCCTTTTTATACTTCCAAAATTTTACGGGTTCCAAAATTTTCAAAATATGGAAAATATTCGATTTTTTCAAGTTTTTGGGATTCCGAAAACTTGGATAACTTTCAGAATTTTCAAAAGTTTTTAAATATGGAAAATATCCGATTTTTCAAAGTTTTTGGGATTCCGCAAAATTTTGATAATTTCCAGAATTTTATATTTTCAAAATATGTAACAGATTCAATTTTTAAAAGTTTTTGGGATTCCATAAAATTTTGATAATTTTCAGAATTTTATATTTTCAAAATATGTAACAGATTCAATTTTTTAAAGTTTTTGGGATTCCGAAAATTTTGATAATTTTCAATATTTCATATTTCCAAAATTTTTATAGTTTTTAAAAGTTTCAAAATTTGGAAAATATCCAATTTTTTCGAAGTTTTTGAGATTCCGAAAATTTGAATAATTTTCAGAATTTTATATTTTCAAAATTTTCATAATTATGTTTCAGAATTTTAACAGTTTTCAATCTTCAAAATCCTCAATTATCAATATTTTCCAGATTTTTAAAATTCTCAAAAGTTTGAGAATTGTGCAAATTTGAGAAATGTAGCAAAACCGTCACACTTTTAAGAATTTTTTCAGAATTCTCAAATTTTTCAAAATTACCTTCTCCCATTTGCGCTTGGTAATTTCTTGCAAAGAACTTTTCAAACTTCGTCATCCTCACTTTTTCGGCAATTACCATATTTTGCTTCAGTTTTTCAAGCTGTTTCTGGGACATTTTTCTTACTTTAGAAGCCGTACCTCCGTTTTCTTTCGTCTAAACGAAGAAATACATTAGAAAAACATTGAAGTAAACAATATTTTCTGATGGAACAATGAAAAGATTTATCGGAAATAAATTTTATTCCGGACACTATTTGTATACAGGTAAATAAAACTCGTACATTTAAGAAAAAATACAAAAATCCTGAGTGCAAAAACTGAAGGGAATGCATGCAAGACGAATCTTAAGGACACGTTAATGTCAAAATCTATCAATTTCCAAAATTTTCAATGTTAAATTCTCACAATTTTCTAAAATCTTCAAGATTTTCAAAATTCTTGAGTGGATCAACATTTTCAAAATCAGATTTTTTTAAAATTTTGAAAATTTTTAATAAGTTTTAAATTTTCCGAACTTTTTAAATTTAAGATTTTAAAAATTTTTAGGATTTTCAAGAGACTAAAAACATTCTAAATATTTTCAAAATATTGATAAACTCGAGAATTTCATGATTTAACATTTTTCAAAATTCTCAACATTTACAATATTTTCAGTTTTTAAAATTTGTGTAGTTTTCAAAATTTCCAAGATATCCGAAATCGATATTTTCAAAATTTCAAGAATTTTCAAAAGTTCTCGATTTTCAAGAATTTCAAATTCTGAAAATATCGAAAAATCTTTCACAAGTTTCAAAATTCATATCATATATATATCTTCAGTTTTTAAAAATATCAAAATTCTCAAAATTTGCAAAATTTTTATAAAACTTTCAAAATATTGTGAATCTTCCAGTTTTTAAGAATTTAAAAATGTCAAATTCTGAAAACTCATGATGATATAATGGAAAAAGTTTTAAAATTTTTGGAAATTACACAATTTTCAAAATCCTCAAAACAATGTAAATATTTAATGTTTTCTTACACGTATTTGGTATTCAAAATATTGACAACTTAAAAAATCAAAAATTCTCAAAATTTAGTTTTTTCCAAAATATCCGAAATCAATGTTTCCAAAATTTCAAAAGTTAAAAAAGATTCAAAATTAAAAATTTACCAGATAGTGCCGGAAAAAATTAAGCAAAAAGTGCCGTAATACGTCTACCTTCCATAACAATTTTCAACCCTTTGACTAACCTTCGGTTCTTTGACTCTCTTCTCCTTCAACCTGATCGGCTTGGGCAGGATCTTGCTCCCGCCAAAAACGGGAGGCAACGGAGGCGGAGGCATCTCCCTGTCCATTTTCTTCGCGATCGTTTCTTCGTTTCTGTTTCGGTTCAATTCGGCCAAGATCGTATTGGGCGCGTTCGCGCAATAATCGTGATCGCTCACGATGCTTCTGGCATCGTCGATGTCATCATCGTTGCAAAGATCGGCAGGCGGAGGCGTGTTCTCTTTGTCGTGGTCCATCAGAAGCGGGATCGAATCACCATCCTTTTGGAAATAAATCGATATATCAAAGGACAGTATCCTTGCATATGGATATTATTCTAACGCATTTTGGACGGTTTGTTGTGTATGGATCAAGTCAATCAAATTGGCTCAAACAATAATCAGTACCCTATATCCACCCATCTGACGAGTGATCAAGTCAAAAGGGCTAAAATGGATTTACCTATGTGTGAAATATAGAGATGCATAGAATTACTGTTGTTATAATTGAAATTTTCAAGTTCAGACTTCATTCAATTATTTGGTATATACACAAGTTCAATACTCATGAAAAAGAGTACAAAACAACGAAAGACAGTGTTTATAAGTATCTTATTATTTCCTTAAAGATTTGGATGCTGTCATAATTTTTAAGAATCCTCACTGCCACTTTCTTAAAATATACTTTTTAAAAGCAACAAATTGGTAGTAACTGAAATAAATTTTTTGGAAAATCCCTCAGCATACCGTTGAAAACATCCCAAATTATTTGTACGCATGTTTAAAATAATTTACAACTCACCATAGTTCTCTCTCCTTCACCATGTTTATCAGTTGTAAGACCTTGACCTCCATCCTGACCTCCTCCTTGTATTTGTGCCTGACCATCAACAATCAATTGCACTTGACAACCACTTTGACTTTCTATCTGTCCTTGACAATGACCCTGGCCTTCATTTTGACACTCACACCGAATCTGATCCACAGTTCGACCTTCAGCTTGCTCCTTATCTTGACCTTGACCTTCACGTTGACTCTGACATTCGCTTTGACCTTTACACTGTCCCTGACCTTCAGTTTGACACTCGCACCGAATCGGATCCACAGTTTCGCCTTCCCCTTGCTCCGTCTCACGACCTTGACCTTTACACTGTCCCTGACCTTCAGCTTGACATTCACATTGAATCTGATCCACAGTTTCACCTTCAGCTTGCTCCGGCTCTTGACTTTCACATTGTCTCTGACCTTTACACTGTGCCTGACCTTCAGCTTGACATTCACATTGAATCTGATCTACAGCTTGACCTTCAGCTTGCTCCTCATATAGACCTTGACCTTTACACTGTCCCTGACCTTCAGCTTGACATTCGCACTGAATCTGATCCACGGTTTGACCTTCGGCTTGCTCCTTAACTTGGCCTTGACCTTCGCACCGTGCCTGACCTTCAGCTTGACATTCGCATTGAATGTTATCTTCTGTTTGATCGTCATCGTCACTGTCCTCTTCGAAATCGTAATATCCGGAGTCTGACCTCAGTTTGGTGTTAATCAGATCCGACGACATACGTTCCAGATCGACAAAAAGGTTCGTCTTCACGATCTGTTCGTCGGGATTGCTTCTAAGGTCGATAACGCTGTCACAACTGGAAAGGCTGCTTTTGCTGCCCTCGCAGCAATGGATAATGTCGGGGAATACTTTGGGATTCGGTGATCGGCAGGTGGAAAGTTGTTTGTCCATGCGCGCCAGGTACATCAGTTGCCTGCGCGAGAATTTTGCGGTTAGTTACGGGATTTTATAATTTTGGAATGTACTGTGGGAAAAAAGTTTATGATACTTGGACTCTAGATCTCTCTAAGACATCGGTGAAACAGCAACTCTGCAACTTTCCTGTTGTTAATTTTTATCAATAGTTATTCATTCATTGATGTATTGTTACATTTTTACTGATTTTTGTGGTATTAAACTTTTTATCACATATACAAATTTGTATCAAGTGGATAGGAATATAGATAAAGATAAATGAGAATTGTAAATTTTCATAGTTTTTAAAATTTCAAAGATATTCGAAATCTTCAATATTTTTAAAATTACAAGTTCTCAATTTTCAAGAATTTCAAATTCTGAGAATCTCGAAAAATCTGAAAACTCATGATGAAAATTTTCACAAGTTTCAAGATTTTGGAAATTTTTAGTTTGTTGGGGGCTCAGTAAAAAATGGTCCTATGAAGGTTCCACGAGAAGCATTTTAAACCTTCAAATATCCAGATTTTAAATCCTTTAGTCAAAAAAGTTTTGAAGCAGCAGGTCAAAATGTGGAGAAAAAACTCATTTTTTAATAATCATATTTTGGTCCAAGGACTTCAAAAAACGTTTCTTTCCGCTTAACAATTACAATAACTCGATGGCCTTTTTATTCAGCTTCGATTTGCTTTTTTCAAAATCTTTTCTTGCTGAAATTTCGAATTTTCAATGAAAAGGTACCTGTTTGGGTTTGATCATCGATATCTCAGGAAGCAATCATACAGAAAATCTAAGAGTGGTTTTAAATAATGGAACAGATTAAGAGGAGCAATGATAGTTTATTGAAAAACATTTTTTTTCATCCTTCATATCTCCTGGAGAAAACAGGAACGAGAGATAATTTGTGATTCTTCTTTTGGAAAATCAAAGGCAAAATTGTAAATACTGACAAATGGGAAGTTTTTTCTGAAAAGATATCGAAAAGTAGCTAGATTTGTCGACCTGCCCACTTAATAAATTAGTTTGTAAGACCTCACGCATAAAATGTTTTTTTACATTTATAAAAAATCAGATTCTTTATGCCCCTTTTTACTGTTTACTTTTTCAAGAACTCATTTCGAGCTTTAGATTTTTCTTACCTATGCAGATCGGCCATGGTATCCAACGGCATATTTTGCCATTTCTTTGATTCTGATTCAATGAATTTCTGCCTGTACACCATATACTCTTTTTCATACACCTCGAATGGTGTGTTCGGTGGGATGTTATTTTCATCCATGAACTTTAATCTCTCATATATCAGCAGTTTGAGATTGGCTATACAGTGGTGCTCTTTGTCAGGCAGAAGACCCTGAAAAAAAATGGGAGTCATAAAGCGTGTCCCGAAAGACATAGATTCGAATTTGGCGCCATTTTTACACAGCAAGTGTCAAAAGGTGCTTCAGGATTTAAAATTGACGCCATTTTCATAACGGGCGTCCCAAAGACTCGAATACACGTTAATAAAAAGAGAGATCCTTTAAAACTAGTTTATTTGTAAATTAGACAGTTTTTATTGTCAGTTAAATTCTGAAAGAGAATTCTGGTAAAAACAGATAAATAGTTACCTGGTCATTGTACTCTATTAGATGGTGGATGACATGCCAGCATGGAATGCGGCTATATTTAGTGTTAAATTCTTCATCATCCAGGTCCATAACATCAAAATCAGTACTTTTGAGAATTGGGTAGTTTTTTATCCTATACATTTGTGTCTGTTGTTTGTACACCAAGTAAGGGATACTTCTTTGTTCATTGCCTTCACAAACAATAGATCATGTATAGGATTATTTTTTTAAATTACAAAGTAATAGCATAAGAGGATGAAAGTTCTTGGCCTGAAGACACTCCATTCAGTAAAAATTTACATTTCCAAAAAAGCAGGATTTAAAGAACGATTCGCCTACTGTTTCAAAATTTAACAAATTTTGTATTTCTTAAAACTATACCCCAATTTTATCTGAATATACCTGCATATTCAATCTTTTTCCACATCTTCGTCATGTGTTCATCAGGAGTAAACTGAGGGATGTCCTGTAAACGCTTATCAAACAAGCAAATGCCAGTTTCCTCCTGCTCAATAGCAAGTTTGAACTTCTTTTTGCGCTTGTATCTATTTCGGCGCTCTTCTAGCTTCTTTATTACTTCCTCGTCGAGCTTAGATCCTCTGCAATTTACAAATTACAGCGTTGGTATAATCGGTAAAAATTAAACCGATCAAGTCGGTCAAATGGGCCCATAAGTCCATAGCCAATAAACAAACAAAATTGTGATTTTTATGGATATTATTAATTATCATTTCACTTACTTTTGCTTCTTGTGTTCGCAATCGTACTGAATCAGCCTGGTGTGGAGAGCCAGAAGTTCATCCCACAGCAAGTCAACTTTCTTTCCATATAAAGTCGAGCAGCTCTGAATGAACAGTGCAGCCTCAGCAAAGTTGATGTTAAAGATTCCATTGGATAAATAGCGCTTCTGATGCTCTATATGACCATTAAACTTAGCGATGGCCTGGCAAAGATACAAAGAATAATAAAGTTTTTCTGTACAAGTTGGCTAGATTTTCAACATAACTTCCATAAAGTCTCAGTGAAGAGCTGGTATTTTTCATGAATTTTTGGAGCTTTACAAAAAAAAGGAAGTATCTGGAAGTGACTGGTTTAAAAATAATTTGTCTAAAAGGATGCAAGTTACAAAAGTTAATAACACTATTTCATCAAAAATTGAACATACATCAGGTGTTCCACAGGGCTGTATCCTGGGACCACCTCTATTCATTTTATACATAAATGATTTACCTGTCAAAGAATTCAAATTTTTCACTGATAACACTGATTTATATAAGTACTCAAAATACTCAGTCTGGTATCTCTTATATAAATGAAGACTTGAAACTAGTTTCAAAATGGTTAGCATCCAACAAACTCAAATTAACTACAGGTAAAAGAAAAGCTAGGTTAATTGGTAAAAAACAAAAGCTATGCTAATTGGTAAAAACAAAAGCTAAGTTAGTTGGTAAAAACAAATGAAGACACAAAATTGCTTTTTTGCATAAATTAATCTTAAGCAGTGATTGTTCAATTTTGTGATTACTTTGTTGCAAACCAATTAAACTTAATACTTAAAATGTCAATACAGTAAACTAAAAAAATGTTTGAAGTCAATTTTCTCCATTAAATGATTTTGTTAAATCCTCTGGTGTCTTCAAATGATCAACTAAACATTGATGGTGAAGATATCGACTTCATAGAAAATTCTAAATACCTTGGTGTTTTCATTGACTCTCAATTAAATTATGATATTCATCATAAGGCATACCTGTACACATCAAGCTTAGGAGTATGTGATCCTATTAATGAACTATTCCAATCATCCAGTCATTTATTGATTTGTTTATAGCAAAGCACCATAAGAATAGCAATTATCTAATCACACCTGTCATTATTCACTCTTGATTCTAGATAAAATAAATTTCTACCAGAAAACATTTCCGGAAATGTAATAATCGACGAGGACTGATTGGTCACGGTCAGGGCGTACTAGATTGAAATCTCGTATCCAAGGCATACTTGATAACTGGGTTACAATCATACCTGCTGCAGTTGCTCATCAATTTGTGGCTTCTTGCACAGCTTGTTAACGTGGTTGATTATCTGTCCAACAGGCGAACGCTCGTCAAAATGCTCCTCGTCAGACTCCATGACCGTTCAAAATATTTATGTTTACTGCCGAAACTAAAAACAAACATCCCCTCTAATATCTCGTGGTTAATACATTTCAAAGCCTACTTACCATACGCTCGATATAACCTCTGAGAATTATTCCCGACGTCAAATGCGAGTAAGCCGACTTTTGGCTAGTTCAAAACACATTTTGAAAAGATTTCCTGAAAATATTCAATATTTTCCACAATCGTGCGTGTCGCGTACACCACCGCCATTTTTCAACTTACCAAACGGGATATTCCGTCTCTCTCGCGCGTCGCGGATCCGAACGTGCGAGAGAGAGACGGATATCGGTCAAATTGAAGCGTCATTTGTCCGCGCATGCGGAGAAGCCTGCCGCGATCCCGAGCGGTAGTGGAGATTTGGAGGAAATTTTGGAGGGATACAAACAGAGATGTATTCAGGCGGATATTTTCACGGAATGCAAGATAGTTGCCTGGAAAAGCTTAGTGGAAATTGTAGGCTCGTTGAAACGGGATGTGTTGGAGAAGGTTTTATGGTATGACAATGCTGAGAAATCGATTAAATATGCGATTCATCGAATGAGAAATAATTCAAATATAATGACAACCTCGCCTTGGGAGACAAGCGGTGTTGCCATATGTTGCGAAGGGCTTAAACGGGAAGATTCTTCCCACTAAATGATTTATATTACTTAATTTATTAGCTACTAGATATTGATTCTAATTGTATTTTTCAGTAAAATTTTATTATATACATTGTGAATAATGCAATAAAACTCTAAATTGAAACGTCGGAATCTCTTACAAATGAAAAGGTGAACGGGATTTATGAAAGCTTTCTGATTCGCATTGGCGTAGGCTATAGCTTGAATTGTTGACCTTTTAGCCTAATTCGTCATTTGTATGGACACCCCCGCCGATTATACCCGTTTTACATTGACAATAAATCCACGGATTTCTCCATGAATTGAGTTCATGGCCAAATTTCAAAAGTGTAAACCAGGAATTTGACGTCAAATAAATCCATGCAGTTCTTGGTGGATTTCTTCACGAAATTAGAACTTGTTTGTTGTGTGTTGGCAGCACTGAGTACTGACAAATAGTGCATGCAGTTGTCCATTGATGTACATATCGCAAAACATAATAAGGACGACCTTGAAGAAGTCCATCTGAAGAAATTGTCACTATATCACAGCAATGAAAATAAGAAGATGAATATCAGCTGAAAATGAAAAGCCTTGGCTTCTTGATCTGGTAGACGTATACATTTTGAGGTGCACTAAAAACAAATTTTGATTCAGGTTTTGTTAGGAGTTTGATTTTGCGTAAACTGAAACTTTTCTAATCACAGTGCTAGTCGTGGACTTGAACGCTTACGCACTGTAAAATGTAGCAGTAACTGGTAGCATTAACTAGTTGGTAACCAAATAATACTAACTCTTTTCCAAGTAGATTTCGAGATTAATCTTTTGTTCGTCCAGTGTCTCATGGATGACGCTGGTATCTTTCAGATCTCTTTTCGTTCGGCAGAATGCAATCTATGGTTCCGGTACAGTTCACGACAAACTTGTAGTATGCCTGTATGTACACAATTTTTACAGATGAACCAGCCTTCATCATCATTCAGACCTGTATCATATAATGACCATACTATACGTATGCCGGTACCAGAAAGAAGCAGAAAAAAATGTAAACAGACTCTATAAGTTTGTCGTGAACTATAGAATACGTTAATCAATGCCATCACGAACCTATAATAATTTTTTCGTTTAAGCTAATAGGTCAAGCAAATAGATCATAAAAAGTTATTGTAATTTTGTGTTTGCATGCCCTAACATTATCGGAAACCGCGTAAAGAAAAGGGGAATTATTTACTTTTTTTATAGTCATAACACTGTCCACTTTTGAAACATAGTAAGTCTGGATACGAAACGTACGTCTGGCAACGCCGGATGTCGCATCCGAAATAGCGCAAATCGCCAAGTGGTGGGGGAAATCAGTCGTGTTGTGATCAACGGAGAGGATTGTTTGTGTTTTCAAATATCGCTCTCGTCTCGTATTTTGAATACTCGAAGGTGATATCTACGAATAATCAGAGAAAAATCCCGATAAAAAATGGGAGCCGGCTACACGTGCATGAAGTGGCTGTTCATCGTGCTCAACGCGGTATTTTTGGTAAGACCTAAGGCCTATCTTGCACCCGGGACTCGGAGAGCCATTTTGTCTATTTTCTATTTTTAAAAGCCATCTTCACGATTGCTCAACGCCTACCCGATCTGTTATCAATTAAAGTAAATCGCCAGCATGAATTTGGCAACTGCTTTTCACATTGATTTTCGATTTGTTATGCTCGGTGTTGATTTCTGTTTTTTGCGTCTGTTTTTGTGCCCTTTTTGTTGCGTAGATCCAATGTATATCAATGAAACATCTGTTTGTTACTCAACACTAACAGATCGGGATTAAAATACAAACATGAGGATGCTTCGCTTATGATGCAACGCACATTTTTCAGTTTTTCCTCCACACTTCATCAAGTAATGTTTTAATTTTAGTTAATAGGCGAGGAATTTTAGACATGGCATAATGCGATTTTTAAGATCCAACTATACGAATGTTTTGCGTTTCAATCATCGGTCTTTTTAAACAAAGAAATAATGGAGGGCTGTTTGATGGGTCAAGGCTAGGTCAATCTGGGAAAATGGTGGAAATCCTAGATATTGGATATGTAATAATAGGAAAATAGGCAATACTATGGCAAAAGTTAATATCAGATGAAAACATGTTTTATTGTTACTAGATCAAACATTTATTTTGCCTGGACTACAATATATCTAAAGATTATAATATCTATAATCTCTCATTATGTAATTTGACATAATTCAAAAATTATTATCGTGACATTTTATTATTAGCTCTAATAGGAGCTCTCCATAATTTTCCCGAACTATTCTCGAAATCCTTGCTTGCAACCGCATTTTTAGCATCTTTATTCTGCGATCTGAGTAGGCCCTGCCAAGGCGTTTATTTATCGAAAAGTAAACAGAAAAAATTGTCGCCGCCTACTTGGCGTGAAATGCAACTTTTAATTAACGCTATTTTTCTCACAGAGTCTGAGTAGGCATTGACAACATGAGTTATTTATTAACCTCATTAGTCAGGATGGATTTTTATTTTCAGTCAGCAAGAGAATTGTATTGAATTATTAATACATTACTTTGAATATCGATACATTGAGACAGGATTTTTAAATTTATTTAGTTTAAAAATAGATAGGATTTATTCTCTTTGATCATATACAGATTCAACTGTGTTGGGTTTTGTTTTTCTAAAATTGTTTAACTATTGGTTGTCACTGAAGGTGGTTCATTTTGAAATTCGATTTTTTGATGACACATCCATGCATTTCCAGTAATGCTTATTTCTATCTCCAATAAATAAAAAAAGGTTGAATTGTTATGTCAGTAAAGCCATAGCTTCATGAGCTGTAATACAAGCAGTGTTAAAACCAAAGTTTCACTAAGGGCCTTATCGTCAGTCGTTCCTACAGTTGTAGGACGCTTTTATAACCTTGATATTATGTTTTATTTTTGAATTCTAAGAACTTAGGCTGATATTCAACAAAAGCTTGAACAGTTTGATGCAAAATTTTTGATATAAAGGCCAATTATGGATAGTTCTTGAGTTCTGATTTATCAATGAATCACGTGCATTTAAATTTTTGTTTATTCTTATAGCTATTTGCGATTGCTGGCATAGGAGCGTCAATATGGATGCTGGTCGATCCGACAATTCCTCTGCATTTCACGCAGGAGGCAAATGATTACCTGATATCAACAGTGATCATTTTTGTGGCGTCGATCATTTTGCTTTTCGTCGCCATTTTGGGCATCTACAGTGTCAGCAGAGAGTCCAGAAAGGCTCTCATAGCAGTAAGCAACACTTTACTATCATCTAAGAAATCTACCTTCAAAGAATCTAGAATAGTCTGTTTTATGTTTTTCAGAAAAGCTCATATGTGCATGTATTACCACCCATAATTAAAACTGCAAAAAATAACAGTTGCTCTTATGCATGAAAGATAATGAAGACAAAATATCGCTGGTATAAATTCCAATTTTTATTTTTTTATCTTATAGTAAAATATTTTTTTAGAGTAATGAATAACTGGTATAAATTTCATAATGATCAGTGACTGAAGTCAAACCTTTTGTGTGTTTTTTAGAGTTTCTGTTTGCTTTTGATCATCGTTGTGGCTCAGATAGCAGCAGGTGTGTGGGGCTACATAAATCGTGAGAGCCTGGATGCTCACATTAAAGCTTCTGTCAAGAAAACAGTCAGGGAGGACTATGATAGAGATGAGAATTTCAGAAGGCTCTTTGATACTATCCAGTCAAAGGTAGGATGAACCTTGAGTGTTTTGTTACTATTTTTTTTTTCAGGTTTTGTTTGATATCTGTCTGATCATTCCTGAGTTGTATTCGACGCTAAAGGACACGTAATCTTTGGGAAATGCGGCCTATAAGTTTCCCAAATTATATTCAATCTCTGCTACTTTTACTGGAAAATGCAATGTTCATTTCCACCTATAGTTACCTATCATAAAATACCCATTAATTCAGCCAAAAACCATAATTTTGACATAAAAATGCAGTAAATTTACTCTAAATATACAGAGATGTAGCATTGAAAGATATGTTTATTGTGTTCAAAATAAACAACCTTCTAACCGTTCTAAACTGAACCATCAATAAAAAAAATATATTAAATGTTATAGCTAACACTGTAACATGTTTTCATATTGTGGTAGGTTATTTTGATCGCCGAATCAGCTGATATGATAGTATCGCAATCTACAAAATATATAGAAACGTCAGGTTTAATACAGTTTCTGATTCACAATGTCTATTATTAAAACTGACTTTTCAGTGAATGACATCATTACGCAATTTTGCGGAAAATTGGGTTGGCACACCTTGAATCAACGGGATCCTCCGTCTGATATATATGCAGTTTTATTTTTAAATTGTGAGCGTTTTTGATGATTCTTACAATGGTTATTTTTTATTCATATGATAATAGCTTTTTTAGTAAAATTGAGATCAGCAGTTAGGTTAAAACATTTTCAAAATCGTTTTAATTTTTTGCAATATGGCGTAATCAGAATTTCAATATGACGTTCCGTCTCTTGTCCTCCGGTAAAATACCCGATTTATCACAAAATCCATGTTTATTTGAAATGGGGTTTTAGAATACATTGTATATTAGCATTGCCAGCCTGTCTCGTCTGCAAGAAGGCGTATGTTTATACTAAGTTTGTTACTAACACATCATTCAGTCACTCTAATTTTCATCTTCACTAAACATCTTCAAATCTTCTGCGAAAAATAGCTTCATTTTAGATTGCTGCAATGCCTGGTCATTAATTTATACGGCGAATAATAGGGGCCCTAGATATGATCCCTGAGGCACACCGTTAATAATTCAACGTGTTTATCGATGGGAAAACGTTTTGTAGATGGAATGTTGTGGTGCTGAACGTTCCTCCGACTGGACCAGAGTGAAGGAATTCAACATGGGCGTATCTTCGAATCCTCAACTGTACGACATTCCAGAAAGCTGTTGCAGGCCCGGTTATTCTCCCGAAGATTGTCGCAGGTCCACCAGAAGCCAGAAGGTAAGATTCCTCTATTCACGAAAATGGACAAAAAATAACATTGTTTTATGTGCACTGAATAATACAAAAGTGTCACGGCGTCTCGGCCTATAACTATAGAAATGTATCAAACACTGTGTTTAGTGATTCACTTTATCTATACAGGGTGATTCAGGGAAATGTGGCAATATATTTAGAGAAGAAACTACATTCAGAAATGAAAACAAATCCGATGATTAGTACATGGAAGTGAAAAGTCAACCTACTTGACGCGCCCTTTGTTTGACATTTTTTTTTTCAAATTATTACGCATATTACGCGCATCTAAATTAATTGAATACAAAAATTGTAAAATGCAAAAATTGTTGCTCCTGATTTATATTTTTTCAAAATTTTCATTTTAGTCCAGATTCCAAAATTCCTAATCTTTTTCCTGAATTTTTAATCCCAAATATCAATTTTTTTAATTTTTTTTCATTATTTCCAATCTTTCAAATTGTTTTCCAAATTTTCCAATTATTTTAAAAATTTTCAAATCCGATTTTTTTCCAAATTTCATAGTAACAATTTTTTTCCAAAATTCAAATTATTTTCAAAATTCCCAGATTTTTTTCATTTTTCAATCAAAGTTTCTCCCAAATTTTAAAATTTGCCAATTTTTTTTTAAATTGAAATTTCAAAATTTTTCCAAATTTCCGAATCCGAATTTTTTTCTAGGTGGGAAGCGAACCGGACAAAAAATACGTCTTCGATCGCGGCTGCTACACGCTGATCATGGAGACGCTCAGCCAAAGCGTCGGTATGATTCTGATCGTCGGCGGTGTGATCCTCGCGATAGAACTGGTCGGTTTGCTTCTGGGTCTGATCATCTCCTGCTCGATGAACAGGACGCATCGGTACAAGGCCTAAAAGGACCCCAAAACGGGGGTCCGGAGAAGGCCGAGGCGGCGCACATTGTTAACCGATTTTTTTGAGATACGCAGCGTGATCGGAGGTTGTGAAGAGTTTGCCGGGTAAAAGATTCGTGTAACATTTAATAATTTCTGATACGGTGATTTTATAGCATTTTTTGTCGTATAAGGCAAGTTTCTTAATGAATAATAGTGGGTGAGGCATACAGGGTGTTTCTACAACATGTAAAAATTCAATCGTTGCTTTTTTTTAGTACTATTTTGTCATCGGTAATCATTTACTGAAAAAAAAACATTTCAATTGAACAACGCAATCAAACTGAAGACAAAAAAATCATTTTCAAAAAATTCAAACAGCTAAAAAAGCGTGTGGTGCTTGTTAATAAATGTTAGAATAATTTTTTAGTTACTATTTACAAAATTGGAGTTATGATAATTTGAACCTAATTGCATTTTTGCTAAACTTGAATTTTTTGAAAAAAATTTCCACTCTTCAGCTGTGGAAGCTGTTTTTTAAACTATAATTTGTTTCTGAATTTTTAGTCTCAAAACGTCATCAAAGGTACTTATAATTGTTTCCAGGTTTTTTTCCCAAATTAAGAATTTAATTTTTTTTCTTGATTCCCAAATTTTGTTTCAATTTTTAAACTCGAATTTATTTCCATATTTTAACATTTTCAAATTTTTTTCAAAATACCCAAATTTTTAAATTATTTTCCAAATTTTTAAATTATTTTCCAAATTTCCGAATTATCCACTTATTTACACATTTTAAAATCGTTTTTTTTCAGACTTCCAAATTCAACTTTTTAAAAAAGTTTTACGCGTATCTAAATCAATCAAAGACAAACGAAAATTTCAAATCCGATTTCTTTCCAAATTACAAAATTCATTTTTTTTCAAAAATCCCAAATATTTTTGCAATAATAAATTCAAATTTCTCTTCCAATTTTAAAATACCCAAAAACCTTTTTAGAAATTTTAAAATTTTCTTCAAAATTCCCAAATCTTCAAATTATTTTCCAAATTCCCGAATTATCCAATTACATATATTCCAAATTTAAATTTTTCAAAAATTTTAAAATTCTTCATTACGCACATTACGCGTATCTAAATAAATTGAATACTAAAATTGCAAAATATGAAACTTGTTGCTGATATAATTTTTTAAAGATTTTCAATTTTTTTCCAAAATTGAAATTAATTTTTTCGCAAAATTCCCAGTTTTTTCAATTTTTAATTTGAAATTTAAAAAAAATTTTTTTTCATTATTTCCAAATTTTGTAATCTACTTTTTTACTCACTAAAAACTCACCCTGTATGTTTTTATCTGAGCGATTCACATGTCCAGAATATATTTTCGTGTTAATATTGCAGTTGAATCTGGTCGCCCCTGTAAAGTAACGTCCTGCCAAAAAATTAGACTTAACCACGAATTGCCAAAAAGATCGAAAATCAAAAAACGGTACTTATACGTGTAAAAATATTTCTAAGACAATCATACACTGATAAAAATATGTTTAACTGCAAGTTCAAACATTTTTTATTCAGCTTTGTATTGTTTGTTCGTAGAACGTAAGTATAGTGTTTATGATTGCACAAAACCAAATTCGTGCACAAAAAAATGTTTGATAAGAAAAAAAGCTTTGGAAAAATCGGTCAACAATTTATACCTCTTATTTCTGAATTTGTACAAATTTTTTCGAGTTCTTTTGAAATGGAAAGCTCTATAAACTGTTTAAAAAACTCCAACAATGCGTATCTACCTACCTAACATGACCAAACTATGCATAAAAAAACTTAGCTCTATTTTAGTTACGTCTTTCGTTTGGTTTGAAACATTATTTTTTGCAATTTCAAACGAAAATTGACGGTTCTTTCCATTTCGAAAACTTTACTGAAGTTCCATAATACGGGCGTTGATTTTCATCACAAAATATTTTAACGTTCTCTATTCTTCGATGTTGTGTACAAAAAAAATTGCTGAAAGATGAATCTATATATTTAGGTATACTCGAGATCTATATTTATTTAGATATAATATTAATGTTTGTGCCATACTCAAGAAAATCTTTATCCGCTTTGTTGAGACAGAGAAAAAAATATTTACGATAATTTCGAATAACAAAAACCGATGATTTATTTTACCAGTACTGGGTTCAAGATGACATTGAAAATGTTTATTGATAGAAATATATATGAGAAATTGGGAAAATGCTGTTTAGGGATTTTTTGCAGATTTTTGGATACGGGTTAGTTTTTAAAAATACGTTTTCAAAAAGACAATTTTGGGAATTTTCAGGATATGCCCCCTGAGTGAATTTGTTTTGGTGCAGGTACAGGTTTTTAGCGTCTCTGTCTCAATGAATAGAGTCATACATGTTTAAAGTTGCATGTTGAGAACAAACTGTAGACTTGGAAATAGATGTAGAACAATTATCGTAAAATGCTTTACATAAGAACAAAAATGCTACGGGGGTTTTGATAGGTTGATGCAGGTAAGCGAGGTAAGTAATTGGCAATATACAGGTATGATTGCAAAAATATAGACAATATTTGTAGAGCAGAAAGTACACTGATGGAAAAATTAAGGAAACAAAAAATTTTTAATTTTTTGAATTTTTCAATATAAAAAATAGTCGTATTTTGGTTCTAAGAGAAGCAACATTAGCCATTTTGTCATTATTTTCATTGAAGCTCTTGGTTTCAAAAAAAAAAAAATAGTAAATTATTATCCTCTATATATGAAGGATGACCAACGTAAATAAAAGGAATTCCAATTTTCTTTTTTCACACTATTTCCCAGAATCGAGTGGAACCGCAGCTTCAACACTTTATTGACTAAAACATTTGAGGCTTATATAACCACAATATGGCCCTTTTTTACTGAAAAAAAATCAGTTTTTATTTGAAGTCTGAGATATCATCTTATCAAAAACCTATTTTTTCCTCGTGGCATATCTCGTACCGTTATACTGTCATATCTTAATGTTAATCCAAAGAATCTAAAACTCGTTATTTTCTGATTAAATGAACTGAAGTATAAATTAATTCCTTATACTATATTTTGATACGTAATTTTATATTCGAGTGTGCATAACTTAACCATGACTTATGTTAGACTGATACTTATTTTTAGTTCCAGGATTGATAGAAAATACAAAAGAATACGTTTTCATTCTGGAGTCAAAATGACTCCCGAAAGTTCGCGCCGCCCATGTTAAACATAGCATGAACCGATGTTACGTCACTCCTTTACGCGTTCATATTTAATGCCGTAGTCCAGTGAAAATATAGTGGATTATTTGTAATGGGTTAGTTTTTGATAATACCTTTGCTATTGAGGTCATGCAGATGTTCCAGTTGGATTGACAACTCCCGTTTGAAAAATCTACAGTTTTTTTGGCAACAAAAATGTAATTTGATGTCGAGAAAATGTCAAGCATTAGTAACAGAAATGGCAGAACTTTGGAAATGGGCCCAAAGGCTACAAACTTGATCTGGAAGCTGAAAGAAAGTCACCTTTATCTCTACCCATGGGCGCCCGCAGGGGAGTTCGGAATCATGTTGATTCTGGAATCAAAACGACGTCAAGCCCCGTCATGACAAAATGTTCTCGCCGCCTATGTTTAACAGTGCGCGCTGTTACGTAGCACGTTCACATTAGAAGGTCGTAGGATGAACTGGTGTTACGTCACTTCTTTACGCGTTCATATTTAACGCCGTAGTCCAGTGAAAATATAGTGGATTTTTTGTAATGGGTTAGTTTTTGATAATCGCTTTGCTATTGAGGTCATGCAGATGTTCCAGTTGGATTGACAACTCCCGTTTAAAAAATCTACAGTTTTTTTGGCGACAAAAATGTAATTTGATGTCGAGAAAATGTCAAGCATTAGTAAGAGAAATGGCAGAACTTTGGAAATAGGTCCAAAGGCTACAAAACTTGATCTGGAAGCTGAAAGAAAGTCACCTTTATCTTTACCCATGGGCGCCCGTAGGGGGAGTTCGGAATCATGTTGATTCTGGAATCAAAACGACGTCAAGCCCCGTCATGACAAAATTTTCTCGCCGCCTATGCTTAACAGTGCGCGCTGTTACGTAGCACGTTCACATTAGAAGGTCATAGGATGAACAGGTGTTACGTCACTCCTTTACGCGTTCATATTTAACGCCGTAGTCCAGTGAAAATATAGTGGATTTTTTGTAATGGGTTAGTTTTTGATAATCCCTTTGCTATTGAGGTCATGCGATGTTCCAGTTGGATTGACAACTCCCGTTTAAAAAATCTACAGTTTTTTTGGCAACAAAAATGTAATTTGATGTCGAGAAAATGTCAAGCATTAGTAAAAGAAATGGCAGAACTTTGGAAATAGGCCCAAAGGCTACAAAACTTTAGCTGGAAGCTGAAAGAAAGTCACCTTTATCTCTACCCATGGGCGCCCGCAGGGGGAGTTCGGAAACATATTGATTGTGGAATCAAAATGACGTAAAGCCAAGTGATGAAAATATTCTCGCCGCCTATGTTTAACAGTGCGCGCTGTTACATAGCACGTTCACATTAGAAAGGTGTTACGTCACTCCTTTACGCGGTCGTATTTAATATCGTAGTCCAGTGAAAATAGAATGGATTTGGCCTTACAAACATTACCATAAACAGTTGACTTCCTTCCTTTTATTCATCTCAGCCTCGCGGATATGGAACGTCAAGATACAGGTTACAGTAATTATTACAGCATAAGATGACACAAAATTACGACAAAATCGATAGGAAGTCATTAACAGAACAATCACATTTTCCTACCAAAAATGCTTGCACACTTTTTTTAATATAGTAGGATTTGATATGGAACAGGCTTCGTAACAACGCGCGCTGCTCAACATGGGCGGCGTGAAAATTTTGTCAAGGGCGTAATTTTGATTCCAGAATGCCAAAATAAACGCAGTACTAATGTACGGCGAATTTGATGCAAACTGTTTCATTGGTTAATCGTCCTCTAAACCAAAAAAGGATCAGTTTAATGAAGAAAAACATATTTTCTACCAATCCTCGATTTGTCTCTCTGCTTATATTACATTCCCCGGAGGGAAGATTTGAATGGAATGATGTCATAAATTTTATACTTTCAATGCTATGTATCATTCTCTAAAATGAAGTTGAACTCGTATGTTGTCTCACAAGTAAAAAGCAAATAATATACAGAAATCTGGACGTTATCAGTGTAGTTTTTCCAGATGATTTTTTTGCTCGATGAATGTTTTATGCTTACTTTGAGACATGCCTCAGAGATTGAACTTTCAAACTGCTTAAAGGCGAGATTAAAATTACTGAATATATTTTGAAACATAAAAAATGGTACTGTGTATTTATAGGCTGTGCAATGCAAGACTGAAAAAAGTGGCGTACAGTATTAAGCAAGGAAAATTCGCACCGAAATATTTTGGTTGTTCCTTTGACTAACAGATAGTACCTGAAGATAGTCGAAAAAGGGGTCAAAAAGATACTAGCGCCATCTGTGGAGGTTATCAAATTAAATGAAAGTCATGTTGATTGAAAAAAATGGACAAATAGTGGTGGTTATCCGACTATTATACATTAAAGTGAAAATGAACATGTAATTGACAAAATATTTACAACATATTCTTGCAATTTGCATGTTTAATTTTTTCGTATTTTTGATGTCAGTGCTTCAATCTGTATATGTTTTCAAAAACTGTTTTGCACAAATGGTACATGATTAACTTCGCTTGGTACTGTATTTCCCTAAAAGCAAGTGTGGTTGTGGGCGAAAATATCTCAACAAAATAACCTTTCTGCACTAGATACACTACTCAAAAAAATCCTGACTTTTGACAGATTGTGTTTTGGTGAAAAATGGTCGTATCCAGACCGTATCGAAATTTTAAAAACTGGATATTGCAGCTGATTAAATGATCCGTATGTTGGCCGAACAGAGAAAAAAATTGTTCTAAGCCTATGGTCTAAAAAGAAGGCAAAAAATTCCTCACACACTCTGTGTATTGCATGAGAACCGTTGCTCCTAAAATGCAAGCTTAAAGATGCCTTTTTTGATATATATATATATATAGATACGGCCATGTTTTTTTTAATTACAGCCTATCAAAGATTACCGTAAAAACCGTAAAATTAATTTTAATATCGTTTGTTCACAACCACAGCTCACGAAAACTGGTATTTAGCTGTGAAGAATGCATGAAGGAAGTATAAAATTTGAGACAACCTGACACCTGTGTTAGCACAAATGGCCTGAATCAGTATTGTTATTGTATAAACAATTTCGAATTTGAATCTCAAACAAGCTTTTACGTAGATCTGATTCTGATGTAAACCTACTGATTTAGGGATAGTTTGAAATGTAGCACAATTTTTTTCATCGGATCCTGTAAGGTAAACCAAGCAAATCCGAGAAGCTAGAAGATGGTTCAAAAAAATGTTCCGCACACTACGAAACGAACGTTTGGTTTGCTTGCTTTACCGAGCGAAAAATTAAGACATAATACTAAGACGCACCTTGTACTATTCGCATATATTTTGTGTTAATTTTTTTGATTATTTATTTTTCAGTTATGTATCTTTCAAAGTTTTTACATGAGCTTGTATCTCCGTTTTAATGTAATTGTGTTAATAAAATACTTCAAAGTGTATCTGGTGTTCTGTGATCGATCCCTTTTGTATACCAAAGCAGCCGAGAAAAAATGTGAATCACCTACATACCGTATGCGTTTTAAAATTATCAAAGTGTTGCCAGCCTCCGCATGAACACCGTATTAAAGAAGCGTTTCCGAAAAAATATACTTCATTTTGAGGCAACGATCCATATTCTTTAAAATTACAAAAAGCATGTGTGACATAGAAAATTTAACACCGACTTTCGATAGTTCCTTCAGGCAAGTAGGCGGCGCAACTATCTGACAGACGTCAACGGTGATGCCATTGTTTAACGTGCAGCTCGCACTTCTTCAGTCTTATGTGTTTTGTGATCCGGACGCTTGACGTTCACGTAGGCGCGCAAGAAAGATTGGTAGGGGAATAACTTCCGACCAATGACGGCACAGCACGACCTTTAGCGGTACCGGCGTACGCTGCGTCGCTGCGAGATCGACTTCAGTTTTCGGCCGGCGCTCGGCGCGTCTGGACGACGTTGCGTCGGGATCTCCGTCCAACGCTTTGCTTCGTCGGTTAAGCTACTTGTTGGTGTAGTGTGCCTTTGTCGGTAATTCCCCGCGGTGTGGTGATTGTGTGTGATCATCAATTGTGAGTGAGGCTTCACGTTGGATATTGGATATTCTTCCAGGGAAAACAATGTCTTGACAGCGAACTAGGTAGGTTATCAATCCTCATCTACTTTTGTGTTTTGAGCTCATAATGTCTTGAGAATACTGAATGTGAATAAACAGCTATAACGCAATTCCCAATCAATAATATTAACAACAATAAAGTATCAAAAGGTGCTAACAAACAAGGTAGTAAATTCAACATGAACAATATAGGCTGCTGTGAATATAGTAATTGAAGACATAGACAACGTCTTGTATGCAAGCCTATATAAAGATACAACATAGATATAGTGCAATGAATAGCAAATCTTGAAAATTCAAGCTCTTAAAAATATCGGTTGTATGTAGGTCTTCTTTTGCAAAAGATCGGAAATATATTCGTGACAAATAATTTATATTGTAAAATATTAACTAAGCGCATTTATTTTATCATTATTATTCTCGATACCAATGCTTGAAGCACTGTTTAGAGAATCGTGTGTTATGACTTTGAAGTTGAGTCATTAATTTTCAGATAATGATTGTAGAAGGAAGATAAACCAAAATATGTGTGTAAAAATAAAAAAAAATGTACCTTGTTTTATAAAGTATCCTCCCGACAAGTATTTCAGTGCGGACCTGTATTTGATCGTGAGGTCTTGGAGCACCGGCATGCCGTCCCCATGTGAGGTCTTAAGTCACCTGATTCACGAGCCCGTTGTACTACATTAACAAAGGCACGAGGGGTTGGTTGCACTCGATTGGGAAACCGATCCGCATAAACATGTGCCATTTTTTATTTCGTTTGAGCCACGCAACAGACACCACTATTCACTCACGCGTTACCGACTGACACTGACCGTATACAACTGAATGAAATAATTGTAAAAACATCGTTCCAAATTCTTTCGCTTTTTTGTTTCCGATGCGATGAACCGATAAGGCGGATTATATCCGTTGTTGCAAAACACGAGCACATAATATTATTATTGAGACAGGGCAGTACTCAAACTTCCAAAGGGCTATAACTTTGTTACTTTAATTTTACCAGAAAAATGGTAAAGGAAAAAAACATTTCTTTTGATCAGATCTACTCACTGTTAAAATAAATGACTCAACTTCGAAGTCAACCTGTATACAGCTGTAATACTTATTTTGTAATATTAACGTTTTCAAAAAAAAGTTTATTAACAAACATATTATAGTCTTTGTTTTGGTCAATTATTGCTACAGGTAGATTGTTGTGAGCCTTGGAAGCCTGAGATATGGGGTTATTTGAACATAAAGTAGTTTCATTTCAAAGTTTTCGTTACTACCTACTATCTTAAAATATTGTTGCTCAATTGTTGATAATGCGAGGCGCTGATGAGTATTCCAATGCGCGTCATTAACAGTTAAATAGCAGCGCTTCAAGTTCAAAATACAGTATGAGAAGGTTTGAAGTTGAACATGTTTTGGATTTTCCAGATGTTTAATCGCTTGTAACTCGGAAACTTTTGAGCCAAAAAACCTAAAAACACCTCCCTCCTATGATTCATTAAAAAATCGAGTTGGAAAATTACTACCACACTAACATGTAAAGAAAAACTTACAAGAAAGTGAGATTAGTGCTCGTCAACACCGATTGTATTAAATCTTTATATCCTGTTATCTCTCGTATAGAAAGTTCACGAAGTGGTATTTTTTTGGCAGTATGTTCATTAAAAAATCAAAGACTAATACCTAAGTCTATTCGAAGGCTACTTTGTCCTTAAATCATTTTCGAAAAATAACAAAATGCTATCATACGGTTGGAAGCGTTGAAAGTATAGACACTCGGAATAGGCATATAAAACATACGCTCCAGGAAAATCGTTTGCGTCAGATTGGTAGGAAATAGTTAGGGAAATTTCTTTGGGCACTCTGCGATGTGGGGGCACGTCGAGGGACACGAACAACTCTTCATGATGTCCTTGCAAATTGGATATTTCAGGAATGGCGATGATAACGATATACTTATTATAACTTTATTGGTATTTACTATTTCTATTAGGTGCATATTTTTTGAACATATCTATTTTCAGCTAAAATGTGATTACAACCATGGTTTTTTCGTATTTTACAGAGCTACTGTCCTAAAACTTTCAGGTTTTTTTTTCAAAATCATAGCCCAAATACTTCATCAGTCTTTGAACTTCAAGAATGGTACAAGTTATAGACACTCCCGAGCATGATATAATGACAAAAGATGATAATGATCTGTGTAGACAGCTGCTTACAGGGTAAGTATTGGAGAGTGTGGCATATGGCATCAAGACAGTTGGTTTGAACTTCACGAACCACTCAAGTATAGATAGAACTGTTGATGATCTTGGAAACGTTCTCAAAGATATATCTTCAGAACTTACCTTAAGAAGGCCAACAGGTTTCCACTCAAACTTATGCTATTACCCATGAAATGCAGAGTCAACATTCTTGATGTTTCAAAACAAGCAGAGGTATTTATAAATCATGTGAATTCTCTTTGCAGATAAGTCTGTGAATAGCAGTGGTGTGGTCTACTGTCAATAATATATTGATGAAGCTTTGTATGTGTACATTTGAGGTATCGAATCATTCTAGTAGATAAAACTTTTTCAAAAACCTTTGCTACACTGGATATTATTGATATTGGTCTATAGTTGTTAACATCTGTTTTTGTTCCTGATTTATGTATCGGTATTATATTACCTTTTTTTAAAATTGAGGGATATATGCCAGATTCAAAGCATTTGTTTATTAGGTAAGTGAGTGGTTCTGTTATGTCCTCGGCTATAATTTTCAAATTAGCTGGTAATATATCAAAAGATAATGTTTAGTTGTTTGTTTTTGGTTTTTATTTTAATAAAAATTGCTTTGACGTTCCGAGTTGTTTTCTTCACCTCATCGTCTAACATTTGTGTCATAATCTATATCAATTTTTGGTATGGACATTCAGGGAAATTTTGTAGGGGGTAGCCAAAATTCAAAAGTCGATCTGAACTTTTTTATATAAACTATAAAATATTAAACCATCAAGAAATTTTCTGACACAATCGTCCCCTTTGCTGGACATAAGATTCTTTGCTTGTAAGTAAATTAATCAAATCCTGTATATCTTAAAAAAGTATAACAAGAACTTTAATAAAAATATATTTTAGCTCTATCTGACAAGAAGCTTCTGAAAATTCTCACGAAGTGACCTGTGTGCGTTCTCCAATTTTTTCCAAAGTAACTTGATAAGCTACCACAAATATTGAAACAGCACATGATCGGCAATGAATATGGGCTGATACACCGGAATTTTCAATTCGGATATACCTAAACTTTACATACAATGCTCATTCAACAACACGCTGATTCCGTTTTCTTCCTCTCCTGTAAAATTTACTAAACGTTGGTTAGGACAATTCGTGAGAAAGCCGGCGATATGATCAGAGAAACAAGAGTTGATGCAGCCACGACATGAGCAAATTTCCAGTTTTCTGGGAAGGTGCCGGATTCGTAAGGTATCTGAAAGAGACGCGGAAGCACCAACAAGCACACGTCTTCAATTCAACAGCAGGAATCAAGTCCGGACCAGAAGCTGTGTAGATGTCGAACTTCACAGAAACATGTAAAAATCCCACACTTTTTTATGTTACCCTAAAAGGGCAAATAAAAATAAAACACCATACGATTTAAAGGAATAAGCCATATATTGTAGTACGTACCTGAAATTAACATCACAGCAATCTAAAATGGTAATTTTCAGATGCACATTTATAAACATTGTAAGAGGCTCAACTGCTTCACATTTGTTGTATATCTAATATTTTGAATAAAAACTATTATGGTTCCTAACATGAAAAATACTTAAAAGACACTGCCATAGAGTATCTGCTGTTTGAAAACAAGGCGAAATCGACTCGAAATATGGAAAAAACTTAAAGCTACGAAATAGCGAGTCATTTGGTAGAAAAAATGGAACGCAGTTATACCCGAACGTATATTAAAGCAAACGACATAAAAACGTAAAATTAAAAAATACTAAATGTACAATTTGGTTTCAGATAATGAATTCCTCAAGTCATCGTTGTGTAAGTCTGTCAGGTCTGGTAACCCAGAAAAAAAAGGAAGGAAAGCAGAGAAGGAAGAACGAGAGCAAAGGAGAAGAAGAGAATCTTTTAGGATATGCAGCGTTGTTAAAATCACTTCACAGATTTTGATATGGTCTAAAAATATTCGATTTTTTCTAAAGATTTTGTCAAAATGCTCCAATTTTGGTTGTTCTAAGTTACGGTGCGAGCCGCGGCCTTTTGTGCTTGCGAACTTGCTCGACTGTGTAGTCCACTGACTCACGCAACAGAGGGATGAATTCCTATCTGCGTTACAGTGAGCATATAAAGCGAACTTTACTAAATTGATAGTGGTTGTATGGGGCTGCAAGACTTGACTTATTTTCTGAAAAACGACACGTGGGAGCATAAAATAGCGTTTATACACGGTGAGTTTGTAGAAAGAAGAAATCATTATCTAAAACCAACTGTCGAAATATTGTAAATGAAACTATAGATATATAGCCACGATTTTCTTAAGAGTGACTGATTTTCTGCATGTGGGGCATTTTCTTGAAATCTTGGCTACTGCCTTGATGCAAGATAGACAGAAAATATGGCCGCAATGAGTTGTCGCGGCTTGGATTGAACCACCGAGAACTTCCAAACAAACTGGACATGTTGGAACCTGGAAGAAAAATCATGTAGTGGAGCGTCCGTTACAGTGGGCGAAAAAAGTATTGGCACAATCTATTTATTTCTTGAATATCAATAAAGAAAATATGTACTTTTTTACTACTAAATTTATTCGAGAGCCAACATCCAAATAGTCATTTTTGATGGCAATAGGTAAAATATAACAAAAGAATAATAATAGGAATCATGAAGTTCAAGGGTAAAACATTATTTTCTACTTTTTACTTCAATTGTCCATTAAAATGTGTTTTCTTAGTTTTTTGAACAATAATTTATTTTCTATTTCAAAATGACTACAAAAGTATTCAAAATCAATAGCTTGGATTTTTGGTAATGTTATTCCAATTTTTTTTAAATTTTCAAATTTTTTTAAAAACTTCCAAAAATTGTTCAAAACTTCAAAATTTCCAAATCTTGATATTATTTTACTAATTTCAGAATTTGCCAAATTTACAAATGCAAACTTTTTCGAATATCAAAAAAAATATTTAAATTTTCAAATTTTAATTTTATAAGCTAGTTATTTTACTGAATTTTCAGTCTCAAAATGACAACAAAAATACTTAAAATCAAGAGCTTGGATTTTTGGTAATATTCCAAATTTCAAAATTTTCAAATATTTTTCAAAATTCTCAAAAAGTTTTCAAAACTTTAAAATTTTATCCAAAATTTCCAAGTCTTGACATTATTTTACAATTTGAGAATTTACCAAATTTACAAATGCAAACTTCCAAATTTCAAAAAAAAAATATTTTCAACTTTGAATTTTTTAAGCTGAATTATTTTCTGAATTTTCCGTCTCAAAATGACAACAAAAGTACTGATAATCAAAAGCTTCGATTTTTGGTACTTTATTACAATTTTTTTCAAATTTCGAAATTTTTAAATTTTTTTCAAGATATTCAAGAAATTTTCAAAATTTTCAAATCTTGATATTATTTTACAAATTCCAGAATTTACCAAATTTTCAAATCCAAACTTTTTTCCAAATTGCAAAAAGCAATTTTTTTAAATTTTCAAATTCGAATTTTTTAAGCTATAATTTATTTTCTCAATTTTCAGTCTCAAAAAGGCAACAAAAGTCCTGATAATCAACAGCTTCGATTTTTGGTAATATTATTGCAAACTTTTTCAAATTTCAAAATATATCAATTTTTTTTTGAAAATTCCCAAATCTTGACATTATTTTGCAAATTTCAGATTTTTCAGATTATTTTCCAAATTTTAAAATCAAAATTTCATAATACAAATTTTCTAATTCAGATTTTTCCCAAAATTATTGTACATATTGTCATAGATTGGTCTTGAACTCCGTGCAAATTTGAGTTAATTAGGTTTCTTGGAATTTGTGATTATTAGATTGAGCTAATAAAAGCATGTTAAAAAAAATGCACTTACCCTCCAGAAAATAAGGGATTTTTTTAATTTTTACCATTCTTCCGAAAAAAATCTCATAAATACCTACATTCACTCAAGATCCACATATGTAATTTTGTTAATTTTTAGTTCAACAAGAATCACATTATTCTTCAAACACTAAAGCATATTCATCGATCTATCAATTTATACCACCTACCTCTACAGTTTTTGGTGGCGCAACATTTTCAACTTTCTCTGGTTCCTTCTTAGGCTCCTCCTTCTTCTTCTTTGTTCCAGTTTTCTCGTACACCTCTTTCATGATTGCGTCCACGTTGCTAAGCAATTCTTCCGTCTTGGCTTTCCAGTCTTCAATGCTGTCTGACACAGGAGTCTTCACCGGGGACGCATCTGTACAATCTAAAATATCATCTATCACTTCTAATAGCTCATCTTTGGGCACGGTTTCTGGTGCAGCCGGAGCTAGAAAAATAAAGACATATTCTTCTGTTTGTTTTCTTTGCTATTTTGGTTAGTCTTTGCTTAGGATTGCCCTGTAAATGGTTTCCTTAACTGTTAAACGCTATTTATTTATTATTTATAAGAACTCGATAACAACATTACCTGTACTTTCTGTGGTGGTTGTTTTCTGTACGTCAGGACCAGTAGACGTTGATGGCAAAACATCATCATCAGAGTCTGTCAGCACATAAAAGCTCTTTGAAAATCTCGATTGTGATGCCGGTTTAGCCTGTAAAAAGTTTATATGCATAGTTCCTACATTTGATACAGTCTTTCGTTAGAAATTATACAAGTAGTATCATTTACTTCTAAGGTGACTTGGCTACAATGTGGTGATAAAAATTGTATTTTAACGGCTAAATTGATGATAATTTGATCAAATTTTTAAATTCTCAATTTCAATACTCACTGCTTGTGGCGGTGGCGGTGCCGCATCTTCATTATCAGAAACAAGAACAATGGATGATTTGAAGTGGCTATTCACTCTGTTACGCACCCTCTCGTAATATTCAGTATCAATTGGATCGGGATCAGTGGACGCCACAGAAGCATGTCTACTCCCCATTGTGTTTGATCTCGTTGAGGTGCTTGCACTTGTACGACATCTACCTCTCGATGCCCTGCGATTTAAAATTATTTATGCATGGTGTAAACGTTATTATTGAAATGGGGAAACAAGTCGAAAAGTTCATATGACCCATGGTCCAACGGTCAATAGATTTGTGTCTAAATTGGCTTTATAGTTTACAACTTTAAGTGCCTTATATCGACCACAATCTTACTAATTTTCATAATCTAATCTAAAACGTTTTGAAATTGGGTAATTAACAAATAAATGGCATTAAGTTTTTCTAAGAGATACATGACAACAGCGCGTCGGTTTTTCATCACTCTTATCGAACCGGCAATCGATCGCAAACGGCAACAGGGGTTAGTTATCGTTTTGCATAGATAAATTACTTTATCGGTTATTTGTTATTTGATCTTTTTAAATAGATATTTTGTCAGGCTCAGAATGATATGATAACGATCTAGGTCTGGGTTGAAGATATTGCAGGAGGCATTAAACGATTTTGCTATCAGGATTTGAGAGGTATACAGGGTGTTTCAGTTTATTGTTGCATAACTTTAAGATTCGATAGAACTTTTAGAACTAATGCATAAAGTCTATATAAACATGGGTCGAAAAATGCGTGGCTTCCGAAACAGAGGGTGTTTAAATTTACTTTTTAAAATAGTTTTTTTTAAATATTTCCAACAATATTTGATGTATAACAGTGAAAATTGGTATACAAGGCTTTTTTGGTACGATACAACGAACCATGAGCGTAGTTTTACTGTAACCGCTAGATTGCGCTCTCTACTGTACCTGTAGTGTATTAAAATGACCAAAAATTTTTCTTAGTGCAATTTTTTGCTTTTTGAATAAAAAAACTGATTCTTCGCACTTTTCTGCATAAAAAAGCACTCCTGTGAGTTTTCGTTATAGTTAGCCGTTTTTGAGACATTTCGATTTTTAAGGTTCGATGCATTTTTAATTATTTATGGGAAAATAATATTTTTTTTACATTTTCGATTTGGGCATTACAAGTAATTAAGATGATCGTTTAGATTGTGTTTTTAAACACAGCAATAATTCCTAACTCCAAATAAACACAAAAAAACAATATTAATTTGTTTAATTTTCCAATATTATTTTTAACAAATTAAATTAATTATTTACAACTAAAATGCTATTGGATAGTTACGACAATCATACAAAATCTAAAGTAGTTGCTCGAAATGTAAACCCAATTATTCAATACACAATAAGGCCTTATTTCATCACATGCATTCCTGATTCTGTCTATTAGCATATCCCTTGTGGTTACGGGAGCCTGGTACACTTTTTCTTTTCGAAATCCCCACACAAAGAAATCTAATGGATTTAGGTCAGGGGATCGTGGAGGCCAGGCGACTGGTGTATTTCGGAAGCCATGCATTTTTCGACCCATGTTTATATAGACTTTATGCATTAATTTTAAAAGTTCTATCGAATCTTAAAGTTATGCAACAATAAACTGAAACACCCTGTATGTCTGCCAAAAACTGAACAATGCCTATTTTGCTATTCTCAAAATAAAACCAGGATGGTCTGTTAAGCATATACTATATTTGTTTACATGATATTTAAATGGTATTTTTCAAAAGAAAATAGCTAGGATTATGTGGTTGAAACTATATGATGCAGGTGAACTGTTAAAGAACACAGAATTCTTACACTTTCACTCTTGCGAAAGGGAAATGAGGGGAAGTGTAATGTTAAACTGGAATTATAATAAGGAACTTTAGGATTTAGGATATTTCCTCAAAAATTAAAAAGAATACGCTTAAGCAAGGGTAAAAAAGCATTTCCAAAGGATTAAAACGTGATATAACACTTTGCTAAACTTGAGACGGAAGTAGGAAAAAACTGAAAGCAAAGAGGGTCATGTTTTGAAAAGTAGCATTTTGTCAAGAAATTTTTAGGAAAATCAAAACTTATATAAGGAAGGATTTGTACTGCGTGAACATCATGTTCTGGAAGTTAATAATTAAGCGTCTATGTCTGAACCAAGTCTCTTTCAACCTCTTCCTTGAGATCATTCCACAAGTTGCTATCCGAATAGTATCTTCTGCAAAGCATATGAGGTTGGATTTCAGCAGAGGAGCAGCAGGCCACAACGAGTTAAATGCACATGGACAACACAAACTATGAACAGTAACCTTAAGACTATTATGAAATTGCCTATACCTTGGCGCAGTAGAAGACTTCTTCCTCTTGGCTGGGGTCCTGCCCCTAGACGGTTTGGATATGCTCGCGATATTTCTCGCAATTTGTAGAAAAATATCCATTGTATAATTTCTTTCCGCATCGTCGTCGGAGTCATCATCTTCGTCGTAGTTTACAGAGCGTGTGGCACGACGTCTCCTTCTGCTCATTATTTTTGGTTCTTTTTGAAAACGCTTTTTAGGACAATAAAATTTCCGACAAATACCACTAAACCACTCAAGAATTTATAAAGTCAAAATCAAACCACAGAACACAGAACGACTGTAACGGTATGTTTATATCGAGATACAGAATGCGATATTGAAAATATCGACCTTTTTAACATCTCTAATTAAGTAGTTCGACAAGAAGTCAATAGATGCTGCGAGCATTGCGTCATCGCTGCTACGACATCTAGTACAAGATCACCGAACTAACACTATGTATTGTCTAAAGTTTTATAATATTTTTGCCTAGATTAAGACGATCGGCAATAGGTAGCGATACCATCACAGATTGTAGCGACATCTAGGGAGCCGAAAATGAACTTGCTCCGTTTCGCAAAAACATTCCTGTGTGTTAAATACGAGGGTGGTCCCAGAAGTACGCGGCTTGACCTAGAGATAACGATAGTTGTTAGAAAAATATCATTGTATTAGAAAGTATGCAACCTATAAAGCATATGTGTCAAGTTTGAATACGCCACGATGTTTAGTATTTGTTTGGCAGACATCAATATTGAACGTTTTCAGTGAAAATGTTATGTGGTACAATACTTTTATTTCAAATGCCTCAGCCCAACCAATATAAATGCTGAACTGGATTCGACTCTGGGTGAGACTGCACCTTCGTTTACAACAGTAACATATTGGGTAGCAGAGTTTAGACAAGGCCGTATGAGCTGCCAAGACGAGCATCGCAGTGGTCGACCAAATGTGGTGATGACTCCAGAAATGGTGAAAAAAATTCACTGAATGATCGTCGGCTGAAAGTGCGCGAGCTAGCAAACCTAGTAAACATTTCAAAAAGTGTGGTTCATCGCATATTTTCTGAAAATTTGGACATGAGAAAGCTGGGTGCCGCGACTGCTCACAATCGAGCAAAAACAGTGTCGTGAAGATGTTTCAATTGAGCGTTTAGCGAAGTTATACAGCAACAAAGCAGAATTTTCGCGTCGTTTCATAACCATGGGTGGAACATGGGTCTATTACTTCACACCCGAGACGAAAGAACAATCAAAACAATGTACTCAAAAGGGACAACCGGCTCCAAAGAAGGCGAAGTCCGTTTCATCTGCAGGCGTCGGGTTTTTGGGATGCGCGTGGTATAATTTTCATTGACTATCTTGATAAAAGTAAAAGTATCAACGGCGAGTATTATGCGAACTTATTGCAACGTTTGAGCGATGACATCGAGCAAAAACGGCCGCATTTGGTTAAGAAGAAAGTGTTGTTTCATCAAGACAATGCACCAGCTCGCAAATCCGTTATCGCAATGGCCAAAATTAACGAATTAAAGTTTGAATTGCTACCTCATGCACCCTATTCACCAGATTTAGCCGCCTCGGATTATTTTCTGTTTCCAAACTTGAAAAAATGGCTCAATGGTCAAAGATTTTCAAACGATGAAGAAGTGATGTCGGCAGTTAATGGCTATTTTGAGGAGCAAGACAGTTCTTATTATAAAAAGGGTACCGAACTTATTGAACATCGCTGGGAAAAGTGTATAGAGCTAGATTATCTTGAAAAATAAATACTTTTTTTTACAAAAATTTTGGGACCACCTTCGTATTTGAAGTAAACTAAATAAAACTTGATTTTTGGAATCTGAATTGAAAATCAACAAACGCTAGCACAAACCAATAATTACCAAACTTGTGCATGATTTCCAAATAAATCCATTCACCAATAGTTCGGCCTGCAAAAATCAAAGCTCCGACAATTTTGGCCTTACAAAGGTGAATCGCGTAACAATGAGCTAATCTCGAAATACTCTTCAGGGTCTTATAGAGAAAGCATTAAACTTCAATTTAGATGGCGACCCAAAAAATTATACTTTTTTGTATTGCAATTGTATACACCGATTGTTACGCCAATGGTCAATTGGCGCGCGCGCCACTGTGTACCAGCCACAACCACTGCGCAAGCGCTGCCTGGCAGTTTTTGAATCTCAGCCAATGGGGACGGAGACGCGGGGACATCGAAACGCCGAGACCAGGACAACAGGTGTCGACAGAACGCGTACCATTTTGTACAAGAAAAATTTGTACAGTGCACTCTACAAATTGCAACAACCTTTCTACAAGACTGGAACGGATGGGTCCTTGCCGCACATAACACCGATTTTTAGGGTTTTCTAAATATGTATTAAATCGTTTGTCACTCGAAAATGGTCACCTTTAGGGAAGAGGTCTTTTATGACCAGAATGGTGCAGAAAATCTGAAAAAAAGTCGTCCAGGCAAACAATGACGAACTTATAAGTAGTAATAAAGCAAGCATTCTTTCATAAAAAATCACTTTATTAGCACAATACATTTTGTTCTGTACAACTGCTCACATATATTCGTATCATACAAGATAATAGAAAAATTATATATTACAACTTGAAATTTTTTAGTCTAAATCGTAAAAATTTGACGAATCTATGCTAGGTGCCCATTCGCTGTTTCAGTTTCCTAAGGAATTCTTTCGCCTGTTTGTCGCCTTGTCTGTACTCCAAGGCCTTTATGCTGTCTAAACACATACCTGAAAAAAATGGTTGTTAATAAGAAATCATCAATAGCACAATGAATAGGAATATGAAATAGAAACAAGACCGATCCCTGGGGAATACCCCTGTTGCACGTGAATGCCCGTTGAGCAACTAATATTAAAACATACAAAAACCGTTACTGGGGTCGTCGTGCATTTTTTATTTGGAGAAACAAGGAAGCATGAGCTGTTCTTACTTTTATCGGTCGGTCTCGCCAGTTGCAGATGTATTTGGGGCATCACGCCGATCGACTGTGACGTATCTTCAATGTCCTTGAAAGGAAGATACGCCTCTCCAATATACTGATTGTTGTATCCTAACAAATCTTTGTCTTTTACGCTGAACAATATCAGTGCGTCTTCGAGTTCTCTTTGTTCAGGCGTCAACTTTCTGAAATAAAAGAAACGCCTGTTGACAATTTCTATTTTTGTTGCAAACGAATGATACACTTGGGTGATTTGTGGAGCTGACTTCTGATTCTATCACGGTCAAGAAAAGTAGATTGTCTCTGTATTTCCCACGATTTTTTTTACGAGTAACGTGAAAGAATAAGACAACTAAGTAGTGTTTTACTTACAAGACGAATGTTTCATCAAAGAGCGGGAACTGAGTCCTATTGTGCGTCTTGGTTTTAGGTTTCTCTATATTGGTGAACTTAGCTTCTGGTAAGAGATGTATCCTGACAAAAGCATCACAAGTACCTAAAATATAATTACTTACGTCAGAATGCTGTTAATCAGCATAAACAACAAAAATCTGAAACTTTGTTGTATAAGAAAATCACTGTTTAGATGTAACTTTTAGGATTATCTGTTATTAAGAAAAATACCATTACTTTTTTGTTGTTTGTACTTGACTTATAGAATTACTTTTTTTTGTAAATTATGAAATACATTTTCAATATTTGATCAATGTGACTTACCGTTAGAGTCCATGGGCAACAAGTTTCTTGCATTCATAACCTCTATCGTTAACGTATTTTCCTCAAATTTTGTTTTGATCGAAATCTCACCTAATTGCGAATCTTTTACTTTTTCGAACTCCTTGGCTAACTCTAAATGTACCTGCAAAGAAGCGTTTCGAAATATATTATTTATCAGTTTAGTTAATAAAGTGGCGTCAAGTAGATTGACTCTAAGTGTGGGGAGCACCAAGCAAAGGAACACAAAACTAAGGGCCACTTTTACAGTTGACCCTTGAAGGCCGAGTGTCGATTGAGGGGGTTTTCAGGTCTTTCAAAATTTCTAAGAGCTTTGGATATATTGAAAAGCTTGAAAATTGAAAATTTTAATACTCGAGAAGGAAAAATTGAAAATTTTGAAATTCTTGATAATTGAGAAAATCTCAAAAATTCGGAAAATTTGAATTCTACTTAGCAAAAAAGATGAAAATTTTATGAAGTTTTATAAAAATTTTGAAAATTCTGAATAATTTGAAAATTGGAAATTTGGAAAAATTTGAGAGTTGAGAAAGTGTAGATAAAATTTTCGAAAATTGAACGTTTTTGAAATCTGAGAATTAAGAAAGAACTGAAAACTGAAAATCTTGATTATTGTGAAAATTGTGAAAATATTGATAAGAATTTTGTAAATTGAAAATTTTTAAAATCCGAGAATTGAGTATTGAAAACTTTGATGGTTGTGAAAATCTTTGAATTTCTGAAAATTTATATATGCAGGAATATTGAATTTTGCGAAAATATTCAACTTTATCTAGAAATTTGGAAATTTTGGAAAATTGGAATTTTTAAAAAAAATTTGAAAATTGTGAAAATCTCAAAAATTCTGAAAATTTGAATACTGAATTTTGAAAAATGTTGAAAATTCCATCAAAATTTTGAATATTGTGAAATTGTATATTTTTAAAAACTTGAGAGTATTGATAAAAATTCTGAAAATTGTAAAATTCGTGAATTAATCTCGGAAATTCTGAAAATTTGAATAATGAATTTTGCAAAAATGTTCATCTTTATCTAAAAATTTGGAATATTTTGAAAATTGGAAATTTTGAAAAATTCGCGAATCTAAGATACAAATTAAAAACGGAAAATCTTGATTATTGTAATAATTGTGAAAATCTCCAAAAGTCTGAAAATTCAAATATTGAATTTTGTGAAAATATTGAAAATTAAATGAAAATTTCGAAAATTCGGGAAATTTTGCAAAATTTGAGAAATATTCAAGAAAAAATTGAAAACTGAAAATCTTGACACATTATTGTGAAAATTGTGATAATCTCAAAAATTCTGAAAATTTGAATATTGAATTTTGCCAAAATGTTGAAAATTTTATCAAAATTTTGAATATTGTGAAATTGTAAATTTTGAAAAACTTGAGAGTATTGATAAAAATTCTGTAAATTGAAAAATTGTAAAATTCGTGAATTAATCTTGGAAATTCTGAAAATTTGAATAATGAATTTTGCAAAAATGTTCAACTTTACCTAAAAATTTGGAATATTTTGAAAATTGGAAATTTTGAAAAATTCGAGAACCAAGATAGAAATTAAATACTGAAAAATCTTGATTATTGTAATAATTGTGAAAATCTCCAAAATTCTGAAAATTCAAATATTGAACTTTGTGAAAATATTGAAAATTAAATGAAAATTTCGAAAATTCAGAAAATTTTGAAAAATTTGAGAGATATTCAAGAAAAAATGAAAACTGAAAATCGATACATAATTGTGAAAATCTCAAAAATTCTGAAAATTTGAATACTGAATTTTGAAAAATGTTGAAAATTCCATCAAAATTTTGAATATTGTGAAATTGTAAATTTTGAAAAACTTGAGAGTATTGATAAAAATTCTGAAAATTGAAAAATTGTAAAATTCGTGAATTAATCTCGGAAATTCTGAAAATTTGAATAATGAATTTTGCAAAAATGTTCAACTTTATCTAAAAATTTGGAATATTTTGAAAATTGGATATTTTGAAAAATTCGAGAAACGAAAATAGAAATTAAAAACTGAAAATCTTGATTATTGTAATAATTGTGAAAATCTCCAAAATTCTGAAAATTTGTATATTGAATTTTGTGAAAATATTGAAAATTAAATGAAAATTTCGAAAATTCAGAAAATTTTGAAAAATTTGAGAAATATTCAAGAAAAAATTGAAAACTGAAAATCTTGATACATAATTGTGAAAATTGTAAAAATCTCAAAAATTCTGAAAATTTGAATATTGAATTTTGCAAAAATTTTCAACTTTACTGGATCAATTTCAAAACCCTCAAATAGTAAAGACATCAACATGTAAAAAAAATACCCTGAAGTTGTTTTTTCGTGTGAAATTGTAAATTTTTTAAATTTGAGAACCAAAAAAATATTGAAAACTGAAAATCGTGATAATTGTGAGAATATCGAAAATACTGAAAATTTGAATACTGAATTTTGCAAAAATTTTCAACTTTACTGGATCAATTTCAAAACCCTCAAATAGTAAAGACATCAACATGTAAAAAAAATACCCTGAAGTTGTTTTTTCGTTTACCTCATGTATGAGCTCTGCAGTTTCCAGTCCGTTGAGCCTCAATATTTGTTCTGTTCTTCTCAGTTCATCACAGTCATTATCACAGTTTTGCGGGTTTTTGAAGGATCCAGTCATCAGTTTGAGGGTTTTTCGAAGATTTGCGAAAAACGCTGGAGGTCTCCGTTTCTACAAAATAAAAATATTACTAAATTAAGAGTAACCTACTCACTACAAGCGAAAACGTTTGTCTTAATTTCAAATCTTATCATTCATTTTTGGAATATTTTTTTTTTGATGATGATTCTACTCGAAACACCCTGTATCGTTTAGATTTTTTATTTTTCCCCCGTTTCTGTATCGCTTACCTCAATATTGGATTGTATGATTTCCCCCAAAGTTCCATTGAGCATCTCCCATACAACTTCCAATGTCCTGCTGAAGTTTTCCTCGTTCAACTCCCGATGCAAAGTGCCCAAATTGTTATCGACGTACATCATCAGACGATCGCAACTGTTGCTGTCTTGATCACCTAACTCGGCGCCCTCGATGAGCAGTCTTTTCATTGCTGGTGCCATCTGAAGAAAAAAAAATGTCGTCAAGTAGTGTGACTCACTTCCTGCGCCTTCGTCGGAGACGTCAAAGAAAAGGGAGGCATCAAGAGCCCTTAAGAAGAGTACCTTGATGAGAAGAGACTTGTTGAAAAAGAGTTGAGTGATTTTTTTTTGGAATTTGTATTTATCAAAAAAAAAAATCGAGTTTAGTTGATATTTGTGACGTACCTTATTGACAACAGTCTCCAATAATTCGATGATTTTGTTCCTAACTGTATCAATGGCGTTTGCTATCACGTTGTCCAAAGTATGTTGACATCTTTGGGCTTCCACAGGACTTTTCATTTCTCCTATTTTGTGTATAACACCATCCATCCCTGCAAAATAAAAAAATGTTTCAAATCTTAATCGCACCATTGAGATCTTGGAATGCTTAAGAGGTACAAAATTGGTTAAATATCCAGAGGTTTTCTGGGGGAAAAAAACTGGAGTTCTCCTGATTTTATATATATATTTTATATTGTATAATGACATACCCAGGTCTCTGGTGAACGGTTCCAAAGTCTCCCGAACATAATCAATATTATTGATCGCCAGACACCATTCAGCCGTGACTTCAAACTTTTTATCGTCCTGAGTATCGCCCATTCCCTCGACTCTAGCTGACATTTTGTCTGCATAGAAAACACAACATCTGCAGATGTCGTCGATTATTTTTGCTATGAAAGTGTAACAACTTTCAACGTCTGGCCAGTTTAGCTGCTCCCAGAATACTTTCACCTGAAAATTGAGAATAGACCTTTGTATATACAAGTAATTTGGATATTTGGAATTTTCGAAACTGCATAGGTTCTTGAATTTTCCAAAATTTTATAAAAATTTTCAACGTTCTCCAATTTTCTGAAGGTTTACAAGTTATCACAATTTTATATAATTCAAAGATTTTCAAATTTTTCACAATCTTCAAAACATTCTAAACATTTTCATAATATCCAAAACATCCAAAATTTGCAAGTTTTAAAAAATTTTCACAATCTTCAAATCGTCCAAAACTTTATCTATTTTTAAAATTTGCTAGGTTTTGAAAATTACCATGACATTTTTAAGGTTCTCAAAGTTTTCAAAACACAGTTTTTTGAAATGGCCAAAATATAAAAAATATTCAAAAACAAGTGAATGTCAGAAATGCTTCTTTACTTTTACATAAATTTGCAAAATTTTCGGAATTTTCAAAGTTCTCAAAATGTTCATGGAATTTTCAAAACTTTTTTAAGTTTTATGTTTCTTAAATTTCCGAAATTCTCAATTTTCTAAATTTCAGATTCGCCAAAACATCCAAGGTTCTCAAATTTTTCAAAACTCTCGGGTTTTTCAGAATGGCTGGAATAATCAGAATTTCATTAAAAACCTGAAGAATTTCGATGAAATAATCACAAAAAAAAATGTTTGAAATGCTTCTTTGTTTCAATGTAAAGTTTCCAAAATTTTGCTATTTTTGTAGTTCTCAAGGTGTTCATGGAATTTTCAAAACTTTCTATAGTTTCAATAGTTTAAGAATCTCTCACAACTTTTAAAATTCTTACACTCTTCAAAGCATCCACGATTTCCAAAATTTTCAAAATTTACAAGATTTTCCAAATTTTCACAATCTCTAAAACTTCCAAGATTTTCTGAATGTTTTAAATTCGCAGGATTTTTAAAGTTTCCTATCAAATTTTTAAGGTTCTCGAAGTTTTTAGGACCACCAAGGTTTTTCAAAATATTCAGAATTTTCTTAAAAACCTATATAATCAACAAAAAGTGAAAGTCTGTAACGCTTGTTTACTACGATATAAAGTTTTCAAAACTCGAAGTTTTGCAAATTTTCAAAAATTTCTAAACTCACAATTTCACATACTCCAAATTATCAAAGATTTCCAACATTGTCAAAATTTTCACAATATTCAAAACATCTTTGACTTTCAAAACTTCCAAGATATCCAGAATTTTCACAATCTTCGAAACCTTCAAGGTTTTTCTGAATTTTTAAACTTCAGAGCTTTCTAAGGTTCCGTCAATTTTTTTAGATTCTCAAAGTTTTCAGAACCCTCAAAATTTTTAAAAGGCCAAAGCTTTATCAAAGAATTTCAAAAAGGTGAATGTGGGAAATGATTCTTTTATTCAAATTTTCAGTTTCCATCGAATTTTTAAGGATCTCAGGATCAAGGTGATTTGCTTATATTTTTTATAAGAAGCACCCATTATAAACAAATAAAAATCAACTTGATCTATCTTATTTTTTACCTGGTAAAATATCGTCAAAGTATCAACAGCCGAAGAGCTATATTTGACATTACTGTCAACATGCACTAACTGATCCAATTCAACAGCCTTTTCTATCCTTTGCAACGCCTTGTAAACGGCAATATCCAACCATTGAGCAACTCCACCATGGAACCATTGATGGAAATTTTTTATGTGAAATGTATCGTAATCTGCTGGACAAAGCCCGATGCCTAAAGTAGCAAACCTATACAAAAAGAAAAATGATCTGTATACTCACGTATAGTTTGCGATTTATGGTTATCTTCTCATCAGAAAATTTGAGCAAAGCAAATACAGTGGAACCTATTTAAGTGGGCCCAGGATGTATGAGAATCGAGACGAGACGAATACCTCTGTTACTGGGAATTTTCATACCTCTCCCTTTAGACAAACTAACCTTTGAAGGGCAAGGTAGAGCTCAAACAGCGAAGTACCTTCAGCTAGTGGATCTGGAGAACCTTCTTGCTTCGTGAGATCATTGTACGAGGAATATTGCAGACTACGAAGGTTCTTGCAGATTTCTATGACGTCAGGTTCGCATAAGATGCAAATACGCGCTTGATAGAACACGTATAGGGCTTTGGCAAACTGGAAATTCACTATCCTGCAAAAAAGATTCGATTTATCCAATGCTGGACTGTTTTTGTGACCTTCTATTCTATTATCTGCTTCTGTAGTACACATTTAATGTCTATGGTTCAGCCTATGGCTAAAGCTAGGCTCTCAAGCTACGGTTCAAGCTATTGCTTAAGCTATGGTTCAAGCTATGGCTCAAGCTATAACTTAAGCTATGGTTCAGGCTATGGCTTAATCTATGGTTCAAACTAGGGCTTGAGATAGGCTCACAAGCTATGGTTCAAGCTGGACTCACAGCTATGCCTCAAGCTAAGGTTGAAGCTATGACTTAAGCTATGGCTTAAGATATGGTTTAGGCTGTGGCTTAAGCAATGGTTCAAGCTATGAATTGAGCTAGGCTCACAAGCTATGGTTCAAACTATGACTCAAGCTAGACTCACAAGCTATGGCTCAAGCTATGACTTGAATTGTGGCTCCAGCTATGACTTGAGCTATTGTTCAAGCTATGGCTTAAGCTATGATTCAGGCTATGGTTTAAAACATGTCTCAAGCTATCGCATATGCTATGGTTCAAGCTGTGGCTCAAGATATGGTTCAAGCTATGGCTTAAGCTATTTCTCAACCTATGGCTTAAACTATGGCTCAAGCTATGGTTTCAGGCTATGGCTTAATCTATGATTCAAACTATGGTTTGAGATAGGCTCACAAGCTATGGTTCAAGCTGGACTCACAGCTATGCCTTGAGGTATTGCTCAAGCTAAGGTTGAAGCTATGACTTAAGCTATGGCTTAAGATATGGTTTAGGCTGTGGCTTAAGCAATGGTTCAAGCTATGAATTGAGCTAGGCTCACAAGCTATGGTTCAAGCTATGGCTTAAGCTATGATTCAGGCTATGGTTTAAAAAATGTCTCAAGCTATCGCATATGCTATGGTTCAAGCTGTGGCTCAAGATATGTCTTAAGCTATGGTTCAAGCTATGGCTTAAGCTATTTCTCAACCTATGGCTTAAACTGTGGCTCAAGCTATGGCTTAAGGTATGGTTCAAACAATGGCTTGACCTAGACTCACAAGCTATGCATTAAGCTATCGCCCAAGCTATGGCTTAAGCTATGGTTCAAGCTATGGCTTGAGCTATGGTTTAGGTTATGGCTTAAGCAACGGTTCAAGCTATGACTTAAGCTAGTCTCACAAGCTATGGTTCAAGCTATGCTCACAAGCTATGGCTCAAGCTATAACTTAAGCTATGACTTCAGGTATGACTTAATCTATGGTTCAAGCTATGACTTAAGCTAGGTTTACAAGCTATGGCTCAAGCTAAGGCTTAAAAATGTCGCACGCTATGACTTAAGCTATCGTTCAAGCTATGGCTTAAGCTATTGCTCAAGCTATGGCTTGCTGTCGTATGAAATACTTCTGAAATATCTACAAGAAAACTAGAAGAAGAATAATTTAAATACTCACTCTTGGAAGAACTTATCGTAAAACTCAATCGCCTTTTGAAGATCGCTGCGTACCAGCTGTATGATCTGGATCATATTCTGCAGCTTGCCCACGTTGCTTTCCTCGGGCTTATTGTTGTTCTCCAAGATATGGTTGAGCCAATCGTTGGCACCTTGAGCTACAGCATCATTAAGTACAGTCGGTACAGTCCTGTCGTCTTGGTACGTCACCCAGGGGTACATAGTGTCTGGGAACAGGTCGATGTTGCTTCTTGGAGGTTCCAAAGAGTGGATGTGGTTCAAGATTTTCAGGACCTCCACAACCTAGAATGGATGAGACAAATATACAGGGTGTTTCCTAAAGGAATATCATTATTTGAGGGGACGATTTATATGAACCTATGTCTTAAACGGCTTAACTATTGAGATACAGGGTAGTAAAGTTTCCAACAATAAATTATTATCACTTTAGATGTAGACTGAAGTTTCCCCTATGCCTTACCTGTTTAACCATAGCTTTCTCAGTGACGCTCTTCCTCCTAATCTTCCTGATAATACTGAAACACGAAGGCAAAAGCTTCTTTGTAGCGTCCCAAAACAACTTAGTATCCTCGTCTGACACACCACCAACTTGCAGAGGCTTCACCAGCTTCTCCAGGAGGTTCGAGAACAGCGTCAAGTTCAAGGCGTGACTCTGATGTATCGAAGAGTAAACGTAGTACTGGCATAGAGCTACTTCTGCTGGGGTAAGCCCTGATTGGGCTATGTGTTGGGTGAGGAGCTGCTCGCCTTGAGGCGTGAAGGTGCCGCACCACCAGTTCGCGGCTACCTACAAAACAAGTTTATATCGAGACAAATAAACGAGAAACCCGCAGAAGAATGAAGCTGTTCACATTGTAACTCACCTTAGATGTTTCAAGTTCGTGTAATAATACTATCCTTAGAAGATGTCTATATTCTTGTTCAGCGACTTGGTTATTCTTCTCAGAGCTGAAGGTAACTCTTACTTTTAACACGCCTTGCCTGTTGATTTTGTTCTTTTTGTCTAGACTGTACCACATTGTCATTCCAGATGCTGGTATTGTCTGTAGGTGGAAAAAAAATCATGAATTCTTGAGATTTTGAACCGAATAGAATACAGGGTATATCAGACTATACGTGTGATCAGGACATTCTTAATCCTTATTTCAGTCTAAAAATACGTGGTATTTGGGACACCAGGTGTATACCACAAAAAAAGGGCACCACTGGAAGTGACTTTTCAGTGTGTTTATTAACCTGTGTTGCTGAAAAATCTTGTCTAATGTCTATAAAATGCGCTCAGAAACATGCAAAGCAGATGCAAGAAATTGTGATACAATACACATTAATAAGACTCACACTTAGAGGTATCTTTGCTCTTCCTATGAGTTCGTTTTCATGCTGTCCAGTCGTTGCGGTGACAGCGATTTCTTTAACTAACTTCCGCATGCCTTTTACACCTTTGACATCGAATATTTTCCCTAATTTTTCCTTTACCGACTCTGCAGGGTCGAAATCCCACACTTCTAGACATAGATTTTCGTCTGCTGTATTTTCTGTGATTGGCCTGGAATATTTTTAAAATTTTAGACTGCGACAAGTGTATGGAGCAAAAAGGAGACCATGTTGAGAAATAAATCGCCACATTTACAAGATTTTCGTTTGTCTTTTGTAGGCCAAGTACTTGTTGGAATACCCCCGTATAGGCAAAATCAGACTGTTACGTCATACCATGAATTGTATTGAAGTAATCAATGGACGTACGTCGATGATAAAATAAACAAGTTAAAAAGATAATGACAACAAATTTATATTATGATTTTGCGAAGTTGGGTTATTACACTGATTATTTTTATTTTCATTTTATTTCAGTACTTACAGTGCAAAGTGTTCTTCCCATACAGGATTCAATGTCATTGTTTTTACAGACGTATTATATCTATGGCTCATATTCGATGATAAGTATAACGTTACAAATGGATCGCTCATTCCATTCGAGTCTTTTGGTCTCAAGTCTTTAGCTTCTATCACCTACAAAGAAAATTTCGTGAAAAATTAGATGCCTTCAATTCGTAATTCAAAAGTGAATCACACCATGTTTTATTCTATACTTGTTCCTTCCAGCAATTGAGAACCAAGAAGTGTTACTCGTTCAGTGACCAGAAACAAAAATCATGTTGTTTATAAATAATATGACATAATGCCATAAAATTAGCATTCAGCGGTAGAACCAAAGACAAAAAAAATTTTCGACCCGGTTTTCGCGGTAAAAAAGGGTTGACCTTCAAATGACCTTAACAGTCATGACCAAGGTCATCATTGGATATCTAGGGAAAAATCATAAAAATATTGTTTATGTAGTTTCCCTATACGCCTACTGGCTTTCAAGCTATATCATCGTACCCGGGTTTGACCTTGACCTTGACTTCCCAAGGTCAGTATTTCAGAATGGTCAAGACTAAATTTGGACATTAAATTTTCCGTCCTTTTCATTTACGGGGTCAAAAATGTGGATCTCTATCTAAAAAAATCGACTTGACCTTCAAATGATAGCTGGGGAAAACTCCCATCAATCACGGGACTTCCTACCATTATTATTATCGTGAGGTTCCGGAACTTTTCAGGCACCCTATATATATGACAGTGTTGCCACAACACCTAAACGCAAATGTCTCCGTTTTCGCATCGATTTTCGCGGTAAAAAGTATAGGGTCCAATTAAAAACGGGCTGACCTTCAGATGACCTTGAGAGTCATGACCAAGGTCAGAGCCAAGGTCACCATTGGATATCCGGGAAAAAAATGAAAATATTGTTCCTGTACTTTCCCCTTACGACTGCTGGCTTTCAAGTGATATCATCGTATCTGGGTTTGACTTTGACCTTGACCTCCTAAGGTCAATAGTTAAGAATCTCACTCACTCTCACTCTTTTCATTTACGGGCTCAAAAATAAGGAATTTCATTTAAAAAATCGAATCAGTCGCGTGGCTTCGTTTTTCCTACCATTATTAATTCAAGAATTATCGTGTGGTTCTGGGAATTTTCAGACACCCTATATATATGACAGTGTTGCCACACCACCGAATCGTGAACCTCCCAGATTTTCGTATGGTGAAAAAATCTCAGCGTTGTCTTGTGAAACGATACAAACCTCGACATTGATCATTCGATCAGGAGCTTCTTTCTTCTCGGCTAGCTCTAGGAGATATCTGTGTTTGTCATTGGGTATTTTAAATGCGTCTTGAGCGTACGAGAACAAAGCTGTTTGGCCAACTTCGTAGCTGATGTCGCAGCCCACGTTGTGCAATATTTCGAACAGGATCTCGCAGTATAGTTCATCTATCTGCAAGGAAAAGTACCTAATTATTTACATAACGGTATTTTGGATCTCTATACTTTTGCTGAAAATGTAATCGTACGAACGATACTGAGAAAAATCTAACTAGCCTTGAAAAAAACGTTGTGACGCTATGTTAAAGCCAGCTTATTGCAATTTTCAAAATCTACGACTACGTAAGCGATGGAAGTATTAAACTCGAGATAATATTCGAACTTCGATCCACAAGTTTTCCGTTACTTAAAGACATGTCGGTTTCTCGTTTATGTCATAGTGTAAGAAGTCTAGAGTCACTCTACTTGATGCCACTTTTTTCGTACTACGTATACGTTCAACATAACCGAAATACTACAACGCAGCGATGTAAATCGCACAGCTATTGTGTCGATGAGCAATGATAAATGAGGTAATGGAACGATTCGTGATTTTGGAAAGATAAAAATACTAAAAATCGTCTTCTTCAAACAGCAGCAATATACGGAATACCCGATATTGAAAATAGTGAGTACTTTGCATAAATTCTACTCTGAACCGAGCAGATTCTAAGTATCCAATCAAGCAAGTAAATACGAATGAATGAAATATGAATGGACAGGGGATTAGAATTAATTAAGTATAAACCACCTCCCATTCAGAACGGTTAAATCGGTAAATATTGAGCAACAAATCCACCTTCAGCTTGACACAGACCTATGCGGGGCTAGGCATGCTAAAAATAATGCGTTTGAAAGCAACACAAGTGTGCTACTTTTACTTTCAAGATCATTACGAATAATCAAAATATAAAAATAGTGGCTGAAACAAGCATTTCTTATAAATAGAATTAATTATCTTCACAAGATCGTACGTTATCTCGCCTCGTCTAGGCCTGGAGCTTTTAGGAAATAAATCCGAATATGGTTTAAACGTTTGCAATACGATGAAAATAGGATGCTTTTAGAGTAATCTAATGGATTTTTGATCTCGATACAATTTTTACCGCGATTTTCAGCGCACTCGAAATAAACTGGCGTCAAGTAGGTGGACTCTGTACAAGTGAGACCCTAATGAAATAAAACACACCCGGAAATATATGGATATATTCTTGGATCAGTAGATGCAGGAACGCTTGTCAAAAACATTTTTGTATCGCTCTAAGTTTTAAGGGCAATCTATGATGTGTGAAATAGAATAGAAAGAATATTTTTACATTTGAATGGTAATATTTTTTGTTTCAGGTAGGGTGAAGATTGATTTTTTTTTGCAATACGATGAAAATAGGATGCTTTTAGAGTAATCTAATGGATTTTTGATCTCGATACAATTTTTACCGCGATTTTCAGCACACTGGAAATAATAAAATGCCGTCAAGTAGGTGGACTCTGTACAAGTGAGACCTTAATGAAATAAGACACATCTGGAAATATATGGATATATTCTTGGATCAGTAGATGCAGGAACGCTTGTCAAAAATATTTTTGTATCGCTCTAAGTTTTAAGGGCAATCTATGATGTGTGAAATAGAATAGAAAGAATATTTTTACATTTGAATGGTAATATTTTTTGTTTCAGGTAGGGTGAAGATTGATTTTTTTTTGCAATACGATGAAAATAGGATGCTTTTAGAGTAATTCAATGGATTTTTGATATCGATACAATTTTTACCGCGATTTTCAGCGCACTCGAAATAAACTGGCGTCAAGTAGGTGGACTCTGTACAAGTGAGACCTTAATGAAATAAGACACACCCGGAAATATATGGATATATTCTTGGATCAGTAGATGCAGGAACGCTTGTCAAAAACATTTTTATAGTTTTAATGACAATATAGAAATGATGTGTGAAATAGAATAGAAATACTTAAAGTACTACTCATATAGTAAATGAGAATATTTTTACATTTAAATGGTTATATTTTTTGTTTCATGTAGGGTGAGGATTGATTTTTTCCTAACACTATTAACTACCAAATTTCAGCTCAAACTATTTTTTTCTGAGGATTCAATGAATCATTCTCGCAGAGTACAGGACGAATTTTTGATGTCACTGTTTCTACTAACCGAACTAAGGCGATGTCCCCCCCTCATTTAAGCTTTAGAGCGACATAAATATTCCACCACTTCACTCAACTACTAACCGAAAACTGAGCTATTTTTCTTACGTGGTAGTATGAGAAAATATTTGCACTGCTGATCAAGTCTTATCTTAATTTACGACAAATTTTTTGTTTACTGAAAATGTGCGTTGATTTCAATGCAAGTAAAATGGGACGCTAAATCTGATGAGTGATTTTCTAATTCCTTCTAATACCTTCAGTGACAGTTTCGTTGATTTTGTGTTAGTTGTTAAGTGATATCATATACAGGGTGGTCCAGCTGACGAGTAGTGAATGGGATATTTCTAACACGTTTTTACTAGTTTGATTTGTATGAATCTTTTTTTACTAATTTGAAGAAGTACGATGGAAAAATTGCACAAAGGTCAAAGGACAATGGAAATCCAATAAGTTTGGATAACATTAGAATTTGAAGATTTTTAAGAAATTTGAATTTTGAAATTGGATGTGAAAATTTGGAAAATGAATGTAAATTTGGAAAATAATTTGGTCGTTTTGAAATTTTGAAAACGATTTAGCAATTTCCAGAATAAAAAAAAATCGAAATTTTGAAAAAAAAATTGAAATTTTAGAATTGGATCCAAAAATTGTAAAAAATGGAGTTTTGAAAATTTGAAATTTCGGATTTTGATTGAACTTTAAAATTTTGATTCAAAAATTAAGATTTGAAAAAAATTTAATTTCAAATTTAGAAAAAAATTTGAAAATTTTGAGAAAACCGATTAACCTGATAATATTCACAATATAATAATACAATAATCTTGGGAAAAAAATCCAAATTGAAATTTGGAAAAATTGGAATTGAAAATTTGGAGAATGAATGTAAAATTGGAAAATAATTTGGAGATTTTGAAAACGATTTAGCAATTTCCACATTTAAAAAAATTTTGAAATTTTGAAAAAAAATTGAAATTTTAGAATTGGATTCAAAAATTGGAAAAATGGATTTTTGAAAATTTGAAATTTTGAAAAAAAATTGTAAATTTTAAAATTGGGAATGTAATTTCGATTCAAAAATTGGAATTTGAAAAAATTGAATTTCAAATTTGGAAAAGAATTTGGAAATTTTGAGAAAATCGATTAACCTGAAAATATTCACAGAGGTCAAGGGACCACCATGACAATTCAATAATCTTGCAAAAAAAAATCCAAATTGAAATTTGGAAAAATTGGATTTGAAAATTTGGAGAATGAATGTAAAATTGGAAAATAATTTGGAGATTTTGAAACTTTGAAACCTATTTAGCAATTTCCGTATTTAAAAAAAAATGGAAATTTTGAAAAAATATTGAAATTTTAGAATAGGAAAAATGGAATGTTGAAAATTTGAAATTTCTAAATTTGAACTATGAAATTTTGAAAATGTAAATTTTAAAATTGGGAATGTAATTTTGATTCAAAAATTGGGATTTGAAAAGAATCGAATTTCAAATTTGGAAAAAAATGGAAATTTTGAGAATATTCACATGACTACAATAATCTTGGAAAAAACCAAATTGGAAATTTGAATTTTGAAATTTTTAAAAAGTGGATATGAAAATTTGGAAATTAGTTGTAAAATTAGAAAATAATTAAAGATTTGGAAATTTTGAAAAAACAGGAAATTCCGAAATCTGTAAATTTTGAAACAAAGTGAGACATTTGCACTTAACTGGAAAAATAGAATTTTTAAAAAGAATTGAATTTCAAATTTGGAAAAAAATGGAAATATTGAGAATATTCACATGACAATACAATAATCTTGAAAAAAACCAAATTGAAAATTTGAATTTTGAAATTTTTAAAAAGTGGATATGAAAATTTGGAAATTAGTTGTAAAATTAGAAAATAATTAAAGATTTGGAAATTTTGAAAAAACAGGAAATTCCGAAATCTGTAAATTTTGAAACAAAGTAAGACATTTGCATTTAAAAACTGGAAAAATAGGATTTTTAAAAAGAATTGAATTTCAAATTTGGAAAAAAATGGAAATTTTGAGAATATTCACATGACAATACAATAATCTTGGAAAAAACCAAATTGGAAATTTGAATTTTGAAATTTTTAAAAAGTGGATATGAAAATTTGGAAATTAGTTGTAAAATTGGAAAACAATTAATGATTTGAAAATTTTGAAAAAACAGGAAATTCCGAAATCTGTAAATTTTGAAACAAAGTAAGACATTTGCACTTCAAAACTGAAAAAATGGGATTTAAAAAAAATGAATTTTAAATTTGGAAAAAAGTTATTGTCAAATATGAGATATACCAAAAATTGAAGCAGTTGATTATAAGTACTTTGTTGTCGTCTTGACACTAACAATTCAAAACTCAAATGATAGTTTAAAAAGACTAAAAATGGAAATTTTGTAAAAGAAAATTGAAATTTTAGAATTCGATTGAAAAATTGTCAAAATGGAATTTTGAAAATTTGAAATTTCGAAATATGATTGAACTCTAAAATTTTGAAAAAAAATTGTAAATTTTAAAATTGGGAATGTAATTTTGATTTAAAAATTGGGATTTGAAAAAAACTGAATTTCAACTTTGTGGATATGAAAATTTGGAAATTAGTTGTAAAATTGAAAAATATTTAGAGATTTGGAAATTTTGGAAAAACAGGAAATTCCGAAATCCGTAAATTTTGAAATAAGGTAAGAAATTTACACTTAGAAAGTGGAAAAATGGGATTTTGAAAAAAATTAATTTTTAATTTGGAAAGAAATTTGTCAAAAATCGAAGCTGTTGACTGTAAGTACTTTGTTGTCGTTTTGACACTAAGAATTCAAAACACAAATGATAGTTTAAAAAACTAAACACGCTTTAAAAGCAAATAGAACTAAAAAGTAGAACATTTTCAAGTATAGGATGACTGGGGTGTAATCAACTATATATAATAGTATATATATATATAGGTGAAAAATTAAAGCTTCCGCCTTTTGTTGTGTACTTCGACAAAATTTAAGCAAAGAGGACTCTTTATACTTTTTTAATTCTCTCTAGCTTTCAATGGACTTTGCCATCATCATCAGGAGCTGCAATTACAATGATAACAGTAGGAACAATGGTGTAAAATGAATTTAAATTGACTTAACTTACAGTAGTATGTGAGGATGTTGCTAATTGTTGTTTACGTATAGGATGAGGGAAACGTCCAGTAACATGGTGAAAGCTGGATAGATGGTACAATGGTCAAAATTATATAAAATATGACAAGAACAAGTGGACGTTTCCCTCATCCTATACGTAAACAACAATTAGCAACATCCTCACATACTACTGTAAGTTACGTCAATTTAAATTCATTTTACACCATTGTCGCTACTGTTATCATTGTAATTGCAGCTCCTGATGATGATGGCAAAGTCCATTGAAAGCTAGAGAGAATTAAAAAAGTATAAAGAGTCTTCTTTGCTTAAATTTTGTCGAAGTACCCAACAAAAGGCGGAAGCTTTAATTTTTCACCTAACTGGTCTAGACGACAATGACCACGTCTCAATATATATATATATATATATATTTACATAATAACTCCAATTTTGTAAATAGCAACTAAAAAGTAATTTAATATCAACTAGTATCACAAGCTCTCCTATATTTGAAAATTATTTTCAGCTTTTTATTTTAATCTATTAAAGCATATTTTTTTAATTTTTTTAAACAATAATTTATTTTCGATGCATTATCAACATTTTGACGTCGAAAATTATGATATGTGTATTTTCATTTTTTCTTTCCTATAGTGAGAATTCCGAATTGTGAGAACAAACCATGCCTTTTTCGAAAAAATATCCCGACTTGGCAGAGTTTCTCAACTGCGGATTATTTTCGTTACTGCAACCAAACTGGTACATTTTTCCATATCTTTTTTATCTAATTCTGATATTCTCTGAAACATTTAATAATTTCTGCATTCCCATTTCAAAACTGAACACTATATTTAATTTTCAATATCGAGTTAAGCTACTTTCCATTCCACAATTCCTGGTCACAAAAGTAGGGTTAAGTAAACAAGAAAACACACAAGCAAAGTGGGCCGAAAGTCAAACGAAAATCAGTACTACTTGAAAGCTTCTACCATTCTGCTACTACTATAAAACGTCTACTTTTCCATCTAAAACTACCTGATGAATTACAAATTTAGGCATTGTACGCTACCCTTTCACACCAGCGCATCCACAAATAGGACTGAGTTAAGGGTAGTAGGCTTTCGTATCGACCGTATTCCGGAAGAAAATATCGATTGCAACCTCATTTCTACGCCAACGCTTCGTAAAAGAGACCAAACCGGACCAAACAAAAATAAAAATTACATCAGAGGGTGGACGGGTAATTTTTTACGCGAAGAGCTAATCGACTTTTCATAACTAGAGGGTAAGGGCTCCGTTCCTAATCGTGTCGAACTTCGTACATCCACAACTGGCCGATACGACCGCTCCATTGTCTCTAGGATATCGTGATTGTGGAAGAATCTGCCTGAGGAGGCTGTTTACAGTTCTATACCAATCTTAGACGTCTCCGGTATTTAGGCAAGGAACACGCCTTACCTATTTTGTAATAGAAAAATGCGTGAAAGAAATAAAGCTTTATTACTTGAAAAGTAACAAGTAACAGGATCATAGAAAATGGTAAAGTGTACATTTACATTTAATGTGTCATGTTGAAGTTTGTTACTAATTTTATTATACAGGGTATTTGAAAAGTAGATGGAGATATTTTGAGGGTGATTCCTTGTAACTCGAATATTTGTTGTTTGATTAAACGCATACTAATACAACTTCTTTGCTTCTTGTATTTTTTTCGTTTTTTTGAAAAAAAAAATGAAAACCGTTAATATCGAATGTCACTGGTTTATTAATTTTTAATAAGAATCGTTAACACTTGCGTGTCAGTTCAAATTTCAACAGAATCGAGTACATATTTTTTAAGATATCAATAAAAAAACCTGTTTTAAAATTGATCACCCTGTATTTTGGGAACTCTGCATTTCCGGACTCACGTTTATATTTTTTTAAAAGAATCACCCTCTAAAATATCTGCGTGTTTTTTCGAACACCCTGTAGAATACACTTATAAATATTTGACATATTTATTGTTACGTTTTTTTATCGACAAAGTTCATTTCTCTTGTTTATTTACGTTTAGTATCATTTTAAAAAATATAGATCAATAAATTGTGGTCAGGTGATATTTTTATATTTCTGTTTTTTAGACGTAGGTTTTTAAAACATTAATTGAAAAATTAATATAAATAAAATACAGTTTCTCTGGAAAACACGTTTCTAAACTTACCGTCATCGAGGCTAGATACATGCTAGTCCGCCTCTGCAACTCCTCCTTTTTGATGCCTCGAAAATTTAGTTTTGACAACGACTTCTTCCTTCTGAGCACTGCCTGAATCGGTGTCACATGACCATTGGTCAAATTGCATTCCGACACGCACGGTCTGATCATTTTCGACAATAATTTTCACTCTTTTTTTTTTGGAAAAAATCACTTCAATACATCATATCAACATCAGTCAAGAAATGACGGTGAAACCCATGACATTCTTCAATAAGAAATTCTGAAACGATTCTCCTGTTTCGTTAATTGTTTCCGTTAAAAATTGATCCCGCTTCTGACTTTTCTAATGTTTCATACAAAAGTAGGGATATGAAGATATGCGTGCATTTTTTTCTCTGAAAATTGCTAAGGAGTAATGCTTTAATTTTAATCTGCAGAGTTTGCATGCGTTAACGCTATTCGCGGTTAAATTTCCAGATAAATGAAAAATAATAAACTAGACCCCTGCACGCTCATGACAATCACGAAAACTCCACCTCCGATACAAATAAAGACCAACATACAGAACCTAATGAAAATCTGAATTTTTCATCACCCCACCGATTCATTGCACGCACTCTTGATTACTTCCGCGTTTTCCGGAGGCAAAAGAAGGTCGAGCCGCCATTTTGAACTTTCACTGAAAAGCAAGAAGCGTCGCGTCGGCGATTTGAACTTTCGCCAAAGGTCACCGAAGGTTTCGGAAAATTGACGAGTCTCCGACCAATTTCGTTCAGAAAAATAAGTGACGCGAATTTCTTATTGAAGCGTCCGTCATTTTGAACTCTCACTGAAAGGTTAACGTCGATTTCGGAAAATTGACGCGTCTCGGATGAGGCTCGGAGATAGACTACCTTGCAACGAGTTAAAAGATGATCCGAGTGATGTTTTTCGGTTGCTTGTGTGCCAAAATCTATTTTCGGGTGGTGTTTAACCTATGCCGCTTACGGCTCATCAGCTGATGTCGGTTTATTCGGGTTTTTTTCATTGTTTTCTTTAAGTGGTATGATTGATTGGTGTTGCGTAAACGCCCAATCTAATCAAATTTTAGATGCCAAGTAAAAATAGAAATACGTTTTTTTCTTTTTGGTAATTTACTGTTGATAATCGAGATTTGAACCACGTGACAACATTTGGTAGTTCTTATTCACTGTCTCATTTTAATTTATCCTTTATACTAATAAGACAAAAATACTGTAAACGATGTCCAAACAGAGATCTGAAAGACACCAGCGCCACCTAGAAGGCAATAGCAGAACACGGAAACGGATTCGGAAAGCTAAGTGGCATTGAAAAAAAGAACACCCAGTAATAATGCATTTATTATAATAGTGTTAGCGTTAAAAATAATAGGAATATCCTGAAAGCAGCTTTAGTCATATGCTAAAATTCTATCAGCGAGGTCAACCATCTAGGTCAGCTTCTATAAAAATAAGTCATTATTTTCTGTCTAAAAACCGCTGGATGTCTCATTTGTTGCCACTTTACTTGGCAGCTGACATGGAATGGATTTTTTTGTTTACGCTATTCTCATTTCTGAAGTATCTGTAAATAACTTTTTTTAATCAAGAAGCGAATAGTCGGAGCGAAAATTTCACGATGATTTTCACTACAAAAGCTTTTATTACTGCCATTAACAAGACCATTGCCAAGGTGAGAGATGTTATAATAGAGGCGTTTATTGAGCTATATAGCCCGTTTAAGTATTTTTAGATAGATGCGGTTGTATGCATTTATATTTATCCTAAATGCAGTCGGTATCGTCTTAATTCTTTAAGGAAATTGAATGTGAAATCGGAATCTCTGTAAGAAGACGAAGAACAGTAATGTCATAATTTGATTAGGAAGCTGTCATCGTAAACATGAGCTTGTAATGAAAGCGGATCACATGTTCCTTGCTTCCCTTCCAGCGTTGCCAGATCGAACGCTACGTTGCCAGTTTCATCACTTAATCTACAGACCTCGTATATGCAATATGATAACAAAGGGAAAGCAGCAAAGAGACAAATAAAGAATAGGATACTCAGTGATCATAAATATACACAATATTGACAAACATAGTGATTTCAAGTTAATTGACTTGATATTTACCACAGGATATAAAGTACTACTATCAATAACAGTAATCTTTATTTGCAAATACAAATGCAATACGACAGCTGTAAGCCACTTACGATACAAATAGTGTCAATATCCTGAAAGTCTTTCCTTTTTTCCAATATATTTGAACTTTCTCTTAGATTTTTTCTACAGTTTATATAAATATTGTGCTTCTATTTTAAGGCCGATTTTCAGTCTATACCGAAAACACGCTCTGTACTAGATAAACATCACTTATGGGTTTTATATAGGACATGTTTCTAGGCATTAATTACGAAAAAATTTTAACGGTCTTCATACTGCTATTAAAAACTCTCATTACGAGACATTAAAGAGGGTGACCTCGTATTTTTTTCTTCGTCTTGTTCTAAATACGTCGCGACTTTGCTTTACAAGGCGTATAGTGTTTTTTTCTAGTAACGTATACAGCAAAGTCTTATTGTTCGGCTCCGAAAAATCACTTCAACCTAAATGAAGCCTATTCCGGTCCTGCATCTGAATCAGATCAAACGTGAACACTGAACACGTACGGATCAGTACTCAATACAAACCCTGGCCGCGTTCGTGAACATAACTCTTTCAGCAGTATGGGAGCTGTCCATATTTTTTAATGTACGGTGAGTGCCTTCAAAATGCTACCGAGGCTTCCCGAATTTCTTTTGCAGTGCCTAAACCAGCGTTAATGGCCGGTTCAACACATCGATTAAGGCACATAAAACTTTCTGTATAAAAAGAATAAGTGATATACAAGCTGACTGCTTATCCGCTAAATAACTCTTCAGCTAGTAATGCCAGCGGAGAATGTTTATTATTGAGATTAGAAAGCATCCTAACATGAAACTAAGTACAACATTCATTGCTTTGAGACTAGACTCCATAGCAGTACTGTTTTATTAATGTTTCTTCCAATTTAGAATTCATATACAGGGTGTTTCAGTTTATTGTTGCATAACTTTAAGATTCGATAGAACTTTTAAAATTAATGCATAAAGTCTATATAAACATGGGTCGAAAAATGCGTGGCTTCCGAAATACAGGGTGTTTAAATTTACTTTCTAAAATAGTTTTTTTTAAATATTTCGAACAATATTTGATGTATAACAGTGAAAATTGGTATACAAAGGTTTTTTGGTACGACAAAACGAACAATGGGCATAGTTTTACTGTAGCCGCTAGAGGGCGCTCTCTACTGTACCTGTAGTGTATTAAAATGACCGAACAATTTTTCTTAGTGCAGTTTTTTGCTTTTTGAATAAAAAAACTGATTCTTCTGACAAAACTAACTGTCAACTAATTGACGTTTAACCTTATTCTGCTTTCAATTTCAAAAATATTTGCAGGCACAGCCTACTTTTAAAAATTATCGAGATACTGACTTTTTAACGTTATTTTATCATAAATAATTAAAAATGCATCGAACCTTAAAAATCGAAATATCTCAAAAACGGCTAACTATAACGAAAACCCACAAGAGAGCTTTTTTATGTTGAAAAGTGCGGAGAATCAGTTTTTTTATTCAAAAAGCAAAAAATTGCACTAAGAAAAAATTTTCGGTCATTTTAATCCACTACAGGTACAGTAGAGAGCGCCCTCTAGCGGCTACAGTAAAACTATGCCCATGGTTCGTTTTGTCGTACCAAAAAACCCTTGTATACCAATTTTCACTGTTATACATCAAATATTGTTTGAAATATTTAAAAAAAAACTATTGTAGTAAGTAGATTTAAACACCCTGTACTTCGGAAGCCACGCATTTTTCGACCCATGTTTATATAGACTTTATGCATTAATTTTAAAAGTTCTATCGAATCTTAAAGTTATGCAACAATAAACTGAAACACCCTGTATAGAACCCTTTCCATTTTTGAAATTTGTTTGATTGTTGAAGATTCATTTGGCATTTATGCTACAATGTCAATTTTGTATAACGACTCTTTTCGACATTTTTTAATTAATTTTATACCATTTTACGTTCTTGTTTATTAAAATTACATCACTATGCATTTTGGGTAGTCATACAGTGACTTTTTTGATTTGAACACTGTTTAATATTATTTCATTTATTAAAATAAAATACCCCCTTCAGATATACAGATTTGCTAGTTATTATACTATTACAATTTTGCAGATGAAAATCTGTACTGCCTCTAGTTTCGTAATTATGATAATGACTATTTAAGTTTTCTAAATGTGGTGATACTCGTAATAAATGATTTTTTTATTTGAATATGAAAATCAGAACTAAATAACGTATAATTTTTTTTTAGTTTTTACCACTGATGTTCTTAATCTAAGCATGTTTATCTCAACACTTGCTGCGAAAAAAATAGTTGAACAATACAAAAAATGGGGAAGAATTAGTTACTATATACACATTTTTTCGGACTAAATAAAAGTGATTCTTCGGGTTAGCAATGAAAAAATCAGTTTATTTGTCTTTAGTCTCATTAAGAGACCATCGGGTCCAGAGTAAGCTTGTTAAAACATAAAAAGCGAAAAGCGCAAAAAATAGCAAACAGTTTAAAAGGAATCGCTCCATTTTCAATTAAATATTTACCCAGTCGTCTAATTTCGAGGGAAGTGCCAGATAAAAATTTTAAACAGCCGAGTACACGGATTTACTCGAGAACGGGCTAATTAAGTCGGTTGTACCAGAGGCGTGCGCATAGCGGGGTGAGGCAAGGGATTTTTTTACACACAAGCCTAGATGCCAAAATTTTGTTGATCCGATTTTTGTACTGTCCAAGACGGGCTGTTCTGCATGTCTCCAGTAAAGCGGCTTTCTGAATTTTTTTGTAAACAATTCGGCCAAGGTCTAGTTTTTCAAGTTTCCCGAGGACCTCATCTGTGGCGCCAATAACACTATCGGTACAATTATAACTGTATCTATTTCCCACATCCGCCCTATTTTTCTGACAGCACTTGATACTTGTTGACTTTTTCGTTATTATTATTATCAGATCATAATCTACATACTTGAGGACACAACATACACAACAACCTGATGATTGCTGAAAAGCTCGAAACAGCGCTGTGTACAACTGCTTATTGAGAAACTGAAAGCAAACAGACGCTAGCTCAGCCTAAATAGATAACCGTTCGCGAATATTTATTTTGCGAGGAAAGCATTCGAGCAGCCAACGTATCGCAGATGGATCCTGCAATAACAATTTATTTGCGTTACGCCGCATATTTATTTCGGGCATTACGCGAGCGAATTCCAGCATTTTGCTCCTTTTTGCGGCACCAGACTGGAGTCTTCCTGCTGAAGTGGATTCCGACCACGTAACAGACACGTTACAGCATTGAGACGTGCAGCGATGCTCGTGTTGCCATGGCCAACGTTTATTTATATCCAGCCGGTTCAAGTGAACCTACCTGAACGGATAAAACTATAAATACGTTTCAAATGTCTATTCTGGCAGAGTGCATCGTCAATTCAGTCCGGAAATGCCCTATTTTAGAGATACTGGCAAAAGCACTACTCATCAAAAAACGACATATAAAAAATTTCCAAAAATTGTTGTGCGTCTTTGATCTCGACGTTTTCAGGAGAACCAAGTGCGTAGATTCCGAAATAGATGTCAATTTAGTGATATGATCCACGGGTGTCCCCTGGTGACTGGCTTCTTAACAAATTTTCACCTCTATTTCGACACCATGACCATTTAAGGTATTTTTCACGATGATATTCAAATTTCAGTAAAGAAATTTGGTTTGTACTCACTTTTGCAGAAAGTATCACTTTCCGC